GATACGGCACACAAGAGGCTTCTTCCCCCGTTGCTCAGGAGGGACAATATTGCTTGTGATGTGGACGAAGTGCTCTGGCCTGACCCAGCCCAAAGACAAGAAGAAGAACATTGATCACGTTTACTCCTTTGATTTTTGTCCCTATTAGTATTGTATACTGTTGTACAGTGCCTTGTAGGCTGTATACTGTACAATGGACAAATTGTATGGCCCAGAACATTGTGCTTTCCATTTGTTAACAGTACTGACTGCACAATAGATTTTGACTGGTTGCAGGTTCATATCAACAAAGAACAAGAAGTATAGTATCACAGAGACAAAGGACAAGTTTGTGAGATGCAGGGTACAGTACTGTAAAAATAGGGGTACAAGGAGGAGGAAGAACAAAAAACAAAATTGCAAAGAGCAAAGCAGAGTAGTAATTTCTGATCAATTTTGAGCTACTATGATAGAACATGTTTTCGTTCATCAAAAGACAATGATGGAAAAATATGAAATTTGTTTTGAGATTAAAAATGTACTTCTCCCTGAGAATCAATGTGTTTCCTATTTTTTGGTGTATTGTTTACTGACTGCTTGAGAGTGTATATCATTTTGATCACTTTGTTTATGATTTGAGAGCAGTGTTTGATTTTGAACACAGGTAAAACAGTTTTGAGGCAAATGTTTCATTTTGCGAGAGGAGTCAGAGGTTTTGTAAATAGTGCTTGAAGATGAGGTTTTGTGTTTAATGTTTTCAGGAAATGGAGCAAGGTTTCAGAAAATTGTGTTTTAGCAATTGAGAAAAACTGTAATATAGGTATGGTACTATATACACCAGTTTTTGTATATATACATTAATACATTAATACATTCACAAATGCAGCATTACTATTCATGTAGACATTACTATTCATGTAGACATACACGAGTCCTGAGGAGCAGCCTCTGACCCTGATCCTGAATCCGCTGCAGTGGAGAGAGAGAGAAGAGAGAGATAGAGAGACAGACAGGGAGTGAGAGAGAGAGAGAGACAGACAGGGAGTGAGAGAGAGAGAGAGAGAGAGAGAGAGAGAGAGAGAGAGAGAGAGAGAGAGAGAGAGAGAGAGAGAGAGAGAGAGAGAGAGAGAGAGAGAGAGAGAGAGAGAGAGAGAGAGAGAGAGAGAGAGAGAGAGAGAGAGAGAGAGAGAGAGAGAGAGAGAGAGAGAGAGAGAGCGAGAGCGAGAGCGAGAGAGAGAGAGAGAGAGGTAGAGGGAGACTGTAATAGAGAAGGTCTAAAAAGTAGTTCTGGGTGTAGGCTAACTTTAGAGAGATAACAGGGTCAGTGGTCACATGACCGATACACAACCAGAACTGACATGACCCTTCACAGTGGAACCAACCAGGGTTGATCCACCTAGAACCAGAACTAACTAGACTGGACCTACACACCATGAACCAAAGCAACTTGGTAAAAAAACTGAGATAATAAACTGATAATAAACAGACTCCTTTATTGGTACCTAGCTTGAATGCTTTTCCTTGTTGAGTCAGTGTAAATGCAATGTCAATGCATGTTCTCACATTTTGAGTCTTATGCAGCTACAGCTCTATTCTCTCTGTGATCACAATGAAGATGAATGACTCTGTAGTCAATACTGGTCGACCATCTTTGCCATGACACAACTACTGTGTGTTTACAGTAGGGAACAACACACACACACACACGCACGCACGCACACACACACACACACACACACACACACACACACACACACACACACACACACACACACACACTGGGTCTGTGGGCCAACACCTCCGCTCTGCCGCAGTGTCCAACGAGGCCTGCTGACGTTAACACTAATACAGCCTGCTAAGTCATAGATGCCCACATCACCTGGATAGAACCACAATGTGCTGAATCTCACAGTACGCAGCCAGGGTATACTCAGGACTCACTGTTCTCTAGGCCTGGCCTAACTCCAGACTCCAGCCACACTCACAGCGCTATTGCCAAACTGCATGCAAAGTATTCACTATAGCACCACAACTACACCGATATAAGTCTTACTAACTGTTGTGAATACACATCGTTGAATAAACGTTGTGTGATTACTAATGAGCTCAACAGACTGTGACAGACAGAGAAAGAGAGGGGGAAGAGAAAAAAAATACAGAGAAAAGAGAGAATGATGCCTCAGCAGATGAGATAAGCATATTGCAGAGACACGTGGTGCAGAATTCACTGATACATGAGAAGGACAGTGGAATAAGCAGTCCTGATTCCAGTACTGGGCAGCTCCACTGTGTAATAAGATACACTCAGACCTCTCCCCTCCTCTTCTGTCCCCTCCCCTCCCCTCCTCTGCTCTCCTCTCCTCTCCTCTCCTCTCCTCTCCTCTCCTCTCCTCTCCTCTCCTCTCCTCTCCTCTCCTCTCCTCTCCTCTCCTCTCCGCTCCTCTCCTCTCCTCTCCTGTGTGGCTCTGTGAACAACATAGGACAGGTGTGTTTTTGCCGTACACTGCTGTGGGTGGCTGTGTGTGTAAATGAGATTACCGGCACAGCTCTGACCTGGATGTGCCTTACTGACACACAGCAGCTTCCAGCACATACAGATCAACATCCCCATCCACAGCCACAACCCCACGGGGGAGGGAGAGGGAGGGGAGCGGGGAGATGGGGGAAGGGGGAAGGGAAAGAGGGAGAGAGGGGCAGGTGGAGGGAGGGAGAGAAAGAGAATAGAGAGTGGTAGTGAGAGAGGAGAGAGGTGGATACAGAAGTCGACAGAAATGGAGAGCAGCAAAAATGAGAGGGTTAAGGGATGAAGGGAAAGCAGAGTGAATGGGAGAGTACAGATAAGAGAGGAGGGAGCAGAGCAAATGGGCAGCCAGGTCACCCGTGATACAAGTCAGTATTTGACGTCCATCCATGTCTGAGGACGTTGGGAGATGACTTGGAAACCGGCCGCTGTTAACTTCAAGTAGGTTTCAGTTTTGCTAGGGCGTTGTGGACGAGGATGGCAGATATGCGTAACCATCAGCCATCTGATTCCAAAGGTCGCAAGTTCGAATCCAGCGATAGAGAGTTAACCCTAACCTTAAAAATGCAGAGTTAACACCTAAACTTAACCTTAAACACTTTGAAATGTGACATTTGCAACAACTTCAAACTTTGACATTTGAGAAACATGGATGAACGTCTAATTCTGACGTGAGACTGTGAGAGCTAGTTGCTAATGGGATAGGCCATTGTGTGAAAAACCAAAGAAAGTCATAGAAGCAGCAGCAGAAACAGAGAAAGAGACACAGAGAGAAAGGGAAAGCGAGGGGCTGAGCGAGAGGGAGGGAAAGGGAATAGAACAATAATAGAGCTTGGGGAGAAGGCAGTGTGTGTGCAGCCATCTAAAATAAGACCAATTCTGTTTCTCCGCCTGCTGAAATTCGGTACAATACTGCTTAAAAGCTTTAGTGGCTGGCTGTAATACTCATCCCTGCCTCTGCTACACTCTCTCCCTATGACACTGAACACACTCTCACAGGGAGAACACTCTCACACGATTAACCAAGACAACTGACACACCACAAAGGTGCATCACAGTGGGAGCAGTCTTGAGCTCAGACACGTGGCATACTAACACGATTACACAGACTAACCAAGCACACAGAAAGAGACACTGAGGCAAAGATATACCACGGCTCCAGAAATACAACATATGAATGAAGTACTGTACACATTGTATTATGATGAAGTAGGCTACATGCTCAGACACATCAACCAATATACTGTTGTGAATTTAGCAAGGTTGTTTGCATGTTTCACGATCACAACCTTCTGTTCCAAAGGGGTTTAGTCCCAATAGATTAACTTACACGCCATGATAGACCCCAATAGCTTCACCACACACACTACGGATGGAGGAAGCAAATGTGGCTGAGTGAAACCATGTGTATTCACACTGTGTGTCATAAGGGCCTGAACAAACCCATGTGACCACTGAAGTCATGACAACACTTGTTGGCTAAATGAGACACACACTACCATTTTTAATCAGAGCAGTAAATCTCACACAGGCATCTGCTGTCCAAGCACGGTTTGGCACTGCCACTGTGCACACACTGCCACACACACACGCACGCACACACACACACACACACACACACACACACACACACACACACACAGAGGCTGATCACCAAACTGGGCATTAGGCATGGGACATTGAACAGAGACACTGAAGGGGATATCATCACCATTTACAAATGGGAAGGCTGCTATCAAATCTTCATGGTGCACATTCTCATTATTTCTACTCTCCATCTCACTCATCACTCACCACTGACTTCCACCCATTTTAGGCTTTTGAGTACTGACATCTCACTCTCCCTTTATCCTTTACTATCTCACCATCTCTCTCTTTCTCCGTCTTCTGCATTGTTTCACATTCCTCTCAATCATTCTGTATGAGTATTAGTGCCACTGAATAGTAATAATCTATAGTACTGCACTGCCATCCTGATTCTAACTAACCTCACTCATTATTACTAGCCTATGGAATTATCAAAGTGTGAAATCTGAAGTGACCTAGTTGAGTAAAAATAGAAAATTGCCATATTACAATATATTTAATAACGTGTTGATCTATTTTCACATTTACTGTTGCTTCTCTGTTGACACCATCTGTTGACCAAATATTAAAATGAGGATTTCGCTAACATAATCTGTGTTTCAATCAAAACTAAACCCATTTTCATTCAATACTGTGAGATGGTAGAAGAGGAACCATACAAAAGACACGACGTCCCCTCCCCCTCCGCTTTCCCCCTCCCTCTCTCCTGTAGCTGAGACCACTGCACTGCACGCGAGACTCGCCGGCATGCGGTGGAAAACCAGTGAATACGTGCGTTGCTAGGGCAACACCATCATCGCCTAGAATCGGCCTCATTCAGCCACACAGCAGATGAAACACAAGCTATCTGTTAGCCAATAACATGAGGCAGTTTGTGAAAATCAAAACAAGGGCACCGGAGCTAACCCCTTTATTATTTCAACCGCGCAGCCGCCGCATTAGAACACAGACGGAGAGGGAACTGGAAAGGAACATGCAAATAATGAATGGAAGCTCCCTAGTGAAGCCAAGCATTGCACCTCCACCCACCCGGCTGGCTAGGCGATGGGAGTCACCGTGCGCAAGAGACGGGCAGCTCTCTTTCGCTCTCAGCCTCAAATGCACGCTTCTCGCATAATCAATCACTACAGTTACCACCACGGTGCACAGGCCTTCAGACACATGCATGCACGCAAACACACACATGCACACCACTGTTCTCTTATTAGGCTACATGCTCTAACCTGCATTTGTCAGAGGTAGGCCTACAGATTAACAATGAAAGTGATAAGACAACCCATCTTCTGGGTTAAAACAACAACAGCCATCACATGATTTAGTTGACATCCTTATTAAAGGGCACAGGTAGAATGTTAGAAACGAAAACAACTTGATTGGATGGCAAATGGGCCTATACAGTGGGGGGGAAAAGTATTTAGTCAGCCACCAATTGTGCAAGTTCTCCCACTTAAAAAGATGAGAGAGGCCTGTAATTTTCATCATAGGTACACGTCAACTATGACAGACAAAATGAGGGAATAAAATCCAGAAAATCACATTGTAGGATTTTTCATGAATTTATTTGCAAATTATGGTGGAAAATAAGTATTTGGTCAATAACACAAGTTTCTCAATACTTTGTTATATACCCTTTGTTGGCAATGACACAGGTCAAACGTTTTCTGTAAGTCTTCACAAGGTTTTCACACACTGTTGCTGGTATTTTGGCCCATTCCTCCATGCAGATCTCCTCTAGAGCAGTGATGTTTTGGGGCTGTCGCTGGGCAACACAGACTTTCAACTCCCTCCAAAGATTTTCTATGGGGTTGAGATCTGGAGACTGGCTAGGCCACTCCAGGGCCTTGAAATGCTTCTTACGAAGCCACTCCTTCGTTGCCCGGGCGGTGTGTTTGGGATCATTGTCATGCTGAAAGACCCAGCCACGTTTCATCTTCAATGCCCTTGCTGATGGAAGGAGGTTTTCACTCAAAATCTCACGATACATGGCCCCATTCATTCTTTCCTTTACACGGATCAGTCGTCCTGGTCCCTTTGCAGAAAAACAGCCCCAAAGCATGATATTTTCACCCCCATGCGTCACAGTAGGTATGGTGTTCTTTGGATGCAACTCAGCATTCTTTGTCCTCCAAACACGACGAGTTGAGTTTTTACCAAAAAGTTCTATTTTGGTTTCATCTGACCATATGACATTCTCCCAATCCTCTTCTGGATCATCCAAATGCACTATAGCAAACTTCAGACGGGCCTGGACATGTACTGGCTTAAGCAGAGGGACACGTCTTTCACTGCAGGATTTGAGTCCCTGGTGGCGTAGTGTGTTACTTATGGTACGCTTTGTTACTTTGGTCCCAGCTCTCTGCAGGTCATTCACTAGGTCCCCCCGTGTGGTTCTAGGATTTTTGCTCACCATTCTTGTGATCATTTTGACCCCACGGGGTGAGATCTTGCGTGGAGCCCCAGATCGAGGGAGATTATCAGTGGTCTTGTATGTCTTCCATTTCCTAATAATTGCTCCCACAGTTGATTTCTTCAAACCAAGCTGCTTACCTATTGCAGATTCAGTCTTCCCAGCCTGGTGCAGGTCTACAATTTTGTTTCTTGTGTCCTTTGACAGCTCTTTGGTCTTGGCCATAGTGGAGTTTGGAGTGTGACTGTTTGAGGTTGTGGACAGGTGTCTTTTATACTGATAACAAGTTCAAACAGGTGCCATTAATACAGGTAACGAGTGGAGGACAGAGGAGCCTCTTAAAGAAGAAGTTACAGGTCTGTGAGAGCCAGAAATCTTGCTTGTTTGTAGGTGACCAAATACTTATTTTCCACCATAATTTGCAAATTAATTAATAAAAAATCCTACAATGTGATTTTCTGGATTATTTATTCTCAATTTGTCTGTCATAGTTGATGTGTACCTATGATGAAAATTACAGGCCTCTCTCATCTTTTTAAGTGGGAGAACTTGCACAATTGGTGGCTGACTAAATACTTTTTTTCCCCACTGTATGACAGTGTCATAGGCTTTAAGGTTGCATTTAATCGTGATTAGACCGTCTTCCTGAGGGGGCATAGCCCCACATAAGGATTAAGAAAAGGCTCTAACTGCTGAAATTGATCCATTCAAGGCCAAAACACAAGCCCAACAGGGAAAGCCACGTAACAAGGCCCTGTAAATACAAGGCTGAAGTTGCCCCTATCCACTGTTCTTCTAAGATCAGCGTTGCATTTGACTTCTTAATGGTTAAGATATGGATGGTTTAGGATTCGCTGGTTTTAGATCAGCAGTGAGTGCCAGGCTCCTACAGGAGCTATACCTCTGGTTCACAGTAGGTTCACTAATCGATGTATCATATGCATGTTCATGCTAACTAGTTTGTTTGCATGATCAGGCTGACCCTCCTGAACAAGCAGATTGTAGCGACCATGTCCTCTTTGACGCTCCAGAGGCGAGTTCAACAAGGATTCTGATAGTCGACAGTTTACATGGCCACTTGATTATTTTTAGCAGAAGTTTAGACCCGAAACAGACACTTATGTTCGCCACACAATAGCTTCTCAGACTGTTAGCTAACCTAGTGAATGGTCGCGGCTAACACAAAACAAATAGAAAATGTTAGCTAACGTTAGCCAAAGTTTGCGAACTATTTCCGTTGTTGAATGCAGCTCAGGTGTAAGTGACAGGTATTGATGGTTATTTGATTGGTTGAATCAGATGTGTCAAGTGGTTGAGAAGTTATCAAATGAAATAGGATCCTATGGAATTGAGGCCTACTCAAAAGTGAATGATTACATTGAAAATAACTCGAACCAACGGACATATTCCATCTTCACTATTTTTACATTTCAGCACCATATAATCTCATGTAAGTGTATGACAGTCATGACACCATATAGTAAAAGGCCTACCTCTATCCACTCAGCTACACAAGTCATGTATGAAGGTCAACTAATTGAGGCATCCACAACAGTACACAAAAGGCAACATTAAGACCCTCATATACTCAGTGTTGAACTCTCTTAGTCCAATAAACTTCTTACCTCTCCAGAAGCTCTTCTGTGGTCGGGTAGCACTAGAGTATTCCCATTGCTGCCCGGGACTATAGTAGAACCTGCACTCATTCTGGGTCCAACTAACATGTACCGTTTGTCTCCGGATCTGTACTGGATGCTGTGGCACAGTGTCCCGTCGTAATTCGTATCTTGTAAATACTTGGAGGAATAGTCTGTGGGTTTGGAGCACTGCATTACAATCAACACGATGATACTGATGAGAAAAAGCGTTGAAACTGAACCCAAAGTAATTATCAAATAAAATGTAATGCTGTTCTCCTCCTCGTCTTTTACTGAGCTTTTAACATCAGAAGCTGCAAAAGTCTCTTTGGGTTCCACGACGTTGATAATCACAGTAGCTGTTGCTGAGAGTGAAACGTTCCCATTGTCTTTTACAAGTATGACCAGTTTATGCTCAGCCTCGTCTGTCTCTGTGAATGACCGAAGTGTCCTTATCTGTCCTGTATAGCGGTCCAAAGTAAAGAGACTGTGGTCAGTAACTTCCTGCAGTGAAAATAATAACCAGCCGTTATATCCTATATCAGCGTCATAGGCTCTCACTTTAGTCACCAAATGGCCTGCGTTCACATTGCGTGGAATCTCCTCCACACCTTCAGCGGAACCGTTAGCGCTGACTGGATACAAGATCACTGGAGCGTTGTCGTTCTGATCCAGAATGAACACGTTCACTGTGACGTTGCTGCTTAGTGACGGAGTTCCAGAGTCTGTAGCTACAACTTGGAATTGGAACGTTTTGAGGGTTTCAAAGTCAAAGCTTTTTAGCGCCAAAATGTTTCCATTTTCTGAATTTATGTTTAGAAAAGATGCCCATTTATTCTCGTCTCCACCGTCTCTGACAATATGATATGAAATAAGCGCGTTTTCATTTATGTCACGATCTGAGGCACTCACCGAAAATACTGAGCCTCCTGGCTCGTTATTTTCAGTGACATAGAAAGTATAGGGACTCTGTGAAAACTCTGGACTGTTATCATTCACATCTGATATAACAACGCTAATAGTTTTTACAGATGACAAGGACGGCTGGCCTGCGTCTGTAGCAAATATTGTTAGATCATATTCAGATTGTTTCTCTCTATCCAGTGGGGACTTGGTCACTACAGAGTATATGTTATCTTGTAAAGACGGCATTAGTTTGAAAGGTATATCTTCCAATACAGAACATGTAACTTTCCCATTGAGACCAGAGTCCAAATCATTAACACTGATTAGTGCTACAGTTGTTCCGGGCCTGGAATCTTCGGGGATTTCCTTCGAAAATGAAGTCACCTCTATCTCAGGTGCATTGTCGTTGAGGTCAACTATTTTTATTTTTACACTCTTGTCTGTTGTCAGGGGAACGGGTCCTTGATCTGATGCCTGTATATCAATAAGATAGCTATCTTTTTCCTCAAAGTCTATTTGTCCTTTCACAGTTATTTCACCCGTTATGGTGTCTAAATTAAAAAGTTTCCTTAACCTGCTATTGACATCATTGCCAAATGAATACATGATATCCCCGTTTAGACCACTGTCTAAATCGGTGGCATTTACCCGTATGACAATTTTTCCCAAAGGAGCGTTTTCATTTAACCTTACAGTATATTCATTTTTAGTGAACACTGGGGTATTGTCATTAACATCCAATACATCAACAGATATTTCAAGTGTTCCAGATCTAGGAGGTTTTCCACCATCAATGGCAGTGAGGAGGAGTTTGTGGCTCCTTACCGCTTCTCTGTCTAGTGGCTTCTGTAAAACCAAAAACGGCATTTTGCCATCCTCACCTCGGTCTTTAACATCTAAACGAAAATGGTCATTATGACTAAGTTTATATTGTTGAACGGAGAATGGACCTCCATCTGGGTCGCACGCAGCTTGTAGCTGAAATCGCGCCCCGGGTAACGCTGACTCAAATATCTCTAAACGTTTCTCTTTCTCTGGAAAGCTGGGAGAATGGTCGTTAACATCTAACACCTCCACCACGACATAATGGATCTCTAGCGGGTTCTCTAGAACGGTTTTCAGGTTGATTAAACACACGCTGCTCCGTTCACACACCTCCTCTCGGTCTATTTTTCGGTTCACATACAAGATGCCGTCATTCTGGTTTACCTGGAAAAGGGGCTCGGTCGAGCCAGACACGATTCGAAATCCCCTATCCTTCAAGGTGCTCAGATCTATTCCCAAATCCTTAGCTACATTCCCCACAACAGTTCCTTCCTTAATCTCTTCAGAGATGGAGTATCTTATCTGTGCAGAAGCTCTACTCCAAAGGAGAACCAAAGCAACCATGAACGCGACCCACTGGCATCGCTCCTGCCATGCCCCGCATCCTCTTTGTTCCATGTTTTAAGGTTTAAAAAAATCCGGAGCACTTCCACTATGCCTCTAAGGGTAAGGTAATCGTATCCATTGCAGTTCCAAATATGATCACAGATCGTTATCTTACAGCATGTTGGTGATGAAAGGTTTTAAATTATAATGTATCCTCGATGCTCACGGCTGTAGTCTGCTAGTGACGAAATGCCAAACCAGCTCTAAAGGGCGGACTCAAAAGTATGGCCAATAGAGTTCTTTCATAAGCATTATTTTACTTGCGCACTGACACCATGCGTTTCCACCTCATGTTGCAGGATTGCGTAGGGTAATCATACCCTTTACCAACTATTACTACCCCGATACCGAGTGTTATTTCGAAACAAAAATTAGCAAGAAAAATACAACAACATTAAAAACCATTGTTCTGGTTAGGCGAAGATGGGACATACATGGGGAAGATATTTATGAGAAGTCAGGGTGTGTATGTTGACGTTTAGAAAATGCTGCTAATATAGCCTTAGTGAATCTACAAATGATCGTTAACCATTCCAGGAGAGTTTTGCCAAAACGAAGATGCAGAATGAACTCCGCAATGTTTCAGCACCATGGACAGCGGCACACCCAAGCGCAGTGTCTTTAGACGAGAAAAAACCGTAGGACAGCGCCCTCTGAGGTAAAACGAATATTGCTAATACACCCATTAGGATAATAACACAAACAAGTGCATGTTCTGTTGTCACCTACAATAGTGGCAATTATCTTTGCCACTCCATAAGATATACTCATACATTCAACCCCTTAGGCACAGATCCTGTAAGCATCAAGAATATCACTTAGAAAATACTGAGAACCAAATAGTTGCTACTCATGGCAATGTGGTCAAAATCTTACCTCTCCAGACGCAAGTCTACTGTGTTCGGGTAGCACTAGAGTATTTCCATTGCTGCCTGGGACAATAGTAGAACCTATACTCATTCTGGGTCCAACTAACATGTACCGTTTGTCTCCGGATCTGTACTGGATGCTGTGGCACAGTGTCCCGTCGTAATTCGTATCTTGTACATACGTGGACGAATAGTCTGTGGGTTTGGAGCACTGCATTACAATCAACACGATGATACTGATGAGAAAAAGCGTTGAAACTGACCCCAAAGTAATGATCAAATAAAATGTAATGCTGTTCTCCTCCTCGTCTTTTACTGAGCTTTTAACATCAGAAGCTGCAAAAGCCTCTTTGGGCTCCACGACGTTGATAATCACAGTAGCTGTTGCTGAGAGTGAAACGTTCCCATTGTCTTTTACCAGTATGACCAGTTTATGCTCAGCCTCGTCTGTCTCTGTGAATGACCGAAGTGTCCTTATCTGTCCTGTATAGCGGTCCAAAGCAAAGAGACTGTGGTCAGTAACTTCCTGCAGTGAAAATAATAACCAGCCGTTATATCCTACATCAGCGTCATAGGCTCTCACTTTAGTCACCAAATGGCCTGCCTTCACATTGCGCGAAATCTCTTCCACACCTTCAGCGGAACCGTTAGGGCTGACTGGATACATGATCACTGGAGCGTTGTCGTTCTGATCCAGAATGAACACATTGACTGTGACGTTAGTGCTTTGTGATGGAGTTCCAGAGTCTGTAGCTACAATTTGAAATTTGAATGTTTTTAACCTTTCAAAGTCAAAGCTTTTTAGCGCCAAAATGTTCCCATTTCCCGAGTTTATGTTTAAAAAAGATGCCCATTTGTTCTCCTCGCCACTGTCTCTCGGAATATGATATGAAATAAGTGCGTTTTCATTTATGTCACGATCTGATGCCATCACTGAAAATACTGAGCCTCCTGGGTCGTTATTCTCAGTGACATAGAAAGTATAGGGACTCAGTGAAAACTCTGGACTGTTATCATTCACATCTGATACAACAACACTAATAGTCTTTACAGATGACAAGGAAGGCTGGCCTTCGTCTTTGGCAACTATTGTAAAATCATATTGAGATACTTTCTCTCTATCCAGTGGTGACTTGGTCACTACAGTGTACATGTTGTCCTGTAAAGAGGGCACTAGTTTAAAAGGGACGTCCTCACTTATAGAACAGATCACTTTCCCATTGAGACCAGAGTCTAAATCATTAACACTTATAAGGGCGACTGTGGTTCCGGATCTGGAATCTTCGGGGATTGACTTAGAAAACGATGTCACCTCTATTTCAGGTGCATTATCGTTGAGGTCAACAATTTTTATTTTTACGCTTTTGTAAGTTGTCAGAGGAACGGCTCCCCTGTCAGATGCCTGTATATCAATTTCATAGCGATCTTTTACCTCAAAGTCTATCAGTCCTTTCACAATTACTTCACCAGTATTAGTGTCAACATCAAATAGCTTACGTAACTTACTATTTACATTATTACCAAAGGAGTAAATAACCTCACCGTTCAAACCATCATCTATATCTGTAGCGTTTACTTGTACAACTGTGGTGCCAATAGGGGAATTTTCATTCAGTATTACAGAGTATGACTCTTTGTTGAAAACTGGCATATTATCATTTACATCTAAAACGTCGACAATTATGTTTATAGTACCAGATCTAGGAGGTTTACCTCCATCAATAGCTGTGAGCAGAAATCTATGGGTCCTCTTAGATTCTTTATCTAGCGGTTTCTGTAGATTTAGAATAGGCATTTTACCATCTTCATCTCTGTCCATAACTTCTAAACGGAAATTATCATTGTGGCTGAGTTTATACTGTTGAACAGAATATATTCCACCGTCTGGGTCGCGCGCTGCTTGTAGTTGAAATCGCGCTCCCGGTAACGCAGACTCTGATATCTCTAACCGTTTCTCTTTCTCTGGAAAGCTGGGAGAATGGTCGTTAACATCTAACACCTCCACTGCGACATAATGGATCTCCAGCGGGTTCTCTAGAACAGTTTTCAGGTTGATTAAACACAGGCTGCTGTGTTCGCACATCTCCTCTCTGTCTATTTTTCGGTTCACATACAAGATGCCGTCATTCTGGTTTACCTGGAAAAGGGGCTCGGTCGAGCCAGACACGATTCGAAATCCCCTTTCCTTTAACGTGCTCAGATCTATTCCCAAATCCTTAGCTATATTCCCCACGACAGTTCCTTCCTTAAGCTCTTCAGAGATGGAGTATCTTATCTGAGCTGAAGTCCCGCTCCAAAAGAGAACCAAAGCAACCATCAAGAAGACCCATTGTCGTCGCTCCCACCATGCCACGCATCCTCTTTGTTCCATGTTTTCAAGATCAATAACAATAATCAACTGCACTTCCACTATTTCTCCATTGGTGACAGTTGTCTATCCATTAAATTCGGATATGGCCAAAGCACATTATACAATAGTGTTTTCAGAATATAAAATTTAAATGTTGTTCTCCCCACGAAGCTCACGACTGTATTCCTCCAGCGACTGAATAAGAAACTAAACAAGCAAGGGGGCGGACTCAAAAGCATGACGAGAATGATTTCAATCAGTAGCGTTTTTCTAGATGGGTACTGACACCATGCGATTCTACCTCACATTACACTATTCTTGAAGCTGACTAATGGAATCTTGAATCGATAAATAAACGTGACTGCAAAAGTTGTATAAAAAAAGTCTGAATACACGTAACAAATCATTATGTGTTCATGCGACCATAGAACATCATGTTGGCTACTCATGTATGCAACAAGGGTGCCTCAAGGAAAACAGAATGAAGAATAATCAAATAACCACTTAACGAGCATTTATATACCTATATGTTATCACGTTTTGGCAAACTTTCACCAGTCAAACAGCACGTTGAACTAAACATTGTTTCAGCACCACTGACATGGACAGCGACCAGTCCTGAGAGATCATGTTGCAGCCAACACATCGCTTAATCAAAAACAAAAAGGACTTCACACATTACCACATAACCCTTTTTGGTCGATTAAATATCAGCCTGAGAGGCTTTCAAAGAAAATGACATTTCGAAATGCAAGGTCATTTTCAACTTCTTACCTCTCCAGAAGCTCTTCTGTGTTCAGGTAGCACTAGAGTATTCCCTTTGCTGCCCGGGACTATAGTAGAACCTGTACTCATTCTGGGTCCAACTAACATGTACCGTTTGTCTCCGGATCTGTACTGGATGCTGTGGCACAGTGTCCCGTCATAATTCACATCTTGTAAATACTTGGATGAATAGTCTGTGGGTTTGGAGCACTGCATTACAATCAACACGATGATACTGATGAGAAAAAGCGTTGAAACTGACCCCAAAGTAATGATCAAATAAAATGTAACGAAATTCTCGTCCTCGTCTTTTACTGAACTTGTAACATCAGAAGCTGCAAAAGCCTCTTTGGGCTCCACAACGTTGATAATAAGAGTAGCTGTTGCTGACAGTGAAACGTTCCCATTGTCTTTTACCAGTATGACCAGTTTATGCTCAGCCTCGTCTGTCTCTGTGAATGACCGAAGTGTCCTTATCTGTCCTGTATAGCGGTCCAAAGCAAAGAGACTGTGGTCAGTAACTTCCTGCAGTGAAAATAATAACCAGCCGTTATATCCTATATCAGCGTCATAGGCTCTCACTTTAGTCACCAAATGGCCTGCCTTCACATTGCGCGAAATCTCCTCCACACCTTCAGCGGAACCGTTCGTGCTGACTGGATACAAGATCACTGGAGCGTTGTCGTTCTGATCCAGAATGAACACGTTTACTGTGACGTTGCTGCTTAGTGGTGGAGTTCCAGAGTCTGTAGCTACAACTTGGAATTGGAACGTTTTTAAAGTTTCAAAGTCAAAGCTTTTTAGCGCCAATATGTTCCCATTTTCAGAATTAATATTAAGAAAAGATGCCCATTTGTTCTCCTCACCACTGTCTCTCAGAATATGATATGAAATAACTGCGTTTTCATTTATGTCACGATCTGACGCACTCACGGAAAATACTGAGCCTCCTGGGTCGTTATTCTCAGTGACATAGAAAGTATAGGGACTCTGTGAAAACTCTGGACTGTTATCATTCACATCTGATACAAAAACGCTGATAGTCTTTATAGATGACAAGGAAGGTTCCCCTGCGTCTTTGGCAACTATTGTTAAATCATATTCAGATTGTTTCTCTCTATCCAGTTGTGACTTGGTGATAACCGAATACATGTTATCTTGTAAAGATGGCATTAGTTTGAAAGGTAAATCTTCAAGTAGCAAACAAATAACTTTGCCATTGAGACCAGAGTCCAAATCATTGACACTGATTAGTGCAACTGTGGTTCCGGGTCTAGAATCCTCGGGTATTGCATTCGAAAAGGATGTCGCCTCAATCTCAGGCGCATTGTCGTTGACATCAACAATCTTTACTATGACGCTTTTGTCGGTTGTAAGGGGAGCAAGTCCTTGGTCTGATGCTTGTATATCAATCTCATATATATTATTTTCCTCATAATCTATCACACCTTTGACTGTTATTTCACCAGTAATCGAATCCAAAACAAAAAGCTCACGTACCTTTCTATCTACTTCATTGCCAAATGAATATCTAACTTCACCGTTTGCACCTTCATCTAAATCGGTTGCGTTTACCTGAATGACAGTTGCACCGACAGGAGCATTTTCACTAAGCCTTACAGAGTACACGTCTTTAGTAAAAATCGGGGAATTGTCATTAACATCCAATACCTCAATCTTTATTTCGCTTGTGCCAGACCGCACTGGTTTTCCTCCATCCATGGCTGCAAACAATAACATATGGTTCCTAGTAGCTTCCCTGTCTAACTGTTTCTGTAAAATTAAAAACGGCATTTTACGGTCTTCACCTCTATCTTTCACTTCTATACGAAAATGGTCATTGTGACTGAGTTTATATTGTTGAACGGAGAATTGGCCACTGTCTGGGTCGCGCGCTGCTTGTAGCTGAAATCGCGCTCCCGGTAATGCAGATTCTGAAATCTCTAACCGTTTCTCTTTCTCTGAAAAGCTGGGAGAATGGTCGTTAACATCTAACACCTCCACCGCAACATAATGGATCTCCAGCGGGTTCTCTAGAACGGTTTTCAGGTTGATTAAACACACGCTGCTCCGTTCGCACACCTCCTCTCGGTCTATTTTTCGGTTCACATACAAGATGCCTTCATTCTGGTTTACCTGGAAAAGGGGCTCGGTCGAGCCAGACACGATTCGAAATCCCCTATTCTTCAATGTGCTCAGCTCTATTCCCAAATCCTTAGCTATATTCCCCACGACAGTGCCTTCGCTAAGCTCTTCAGAGATGGAGTATCTTATCTGAGCAGAAGCCCCGCTCCAAAAGAGAACCAAAGCAACCATGAAGGCGACCCACTGCCGTCGCTCCCACCATGCCCCGCGTCCTCTTTGTTCCATGTTTTCTAGATAAATAACAATAATCCACAGCACTTCCACTATTCCTCCATTGGTTACACTTGTCTATCCAATATATTAGCCAAATACCAAAACTAATAAGCCAACACTAGTTTTATTCATATACATTTCAGATCCTATTCTGTCCACGATGCTGGACGACTGTATCCTTCAGCGACTGAATAAGCTACCAAACCAGCAAAGGGGAGGGTTCAAAACTATGACGAGAAGATATCTACCAGAAGTGTTACTCTAGATGGTTACTGACACCATGTGATTCTACATCAAATTACACTGTCATTTAAAACTTTAAATTGTATTTGTCCTATATTGAATGCAATCTTGACTCAATACATACGAGAGAAAACGTTACTGCAAAAGTTGTAGGAATTATGGATACATATTAAATCAAATCATAATGTATTTACAATAACTAAATAATTACTCAAGAATGCAGCAAGTGTCCACAAGTATATACGATCGAGAAATATTTATAAAAATAAAGATGAAGGCTTTTGTATGATGCGTTAACTTTACGTGCGTTTTTGTCATCACTTTTTGGCAAATACTCATTGCACAACGTTTCAGCCCCACTGTCAAGGACAGCGACCAGCCAGAAGCGGCTGTAAATTAGATCAGGTGTGAGATAAAGTTACTGCAAACAACCCTCTGACTCAAAAACAACATTCTTGACACACTCACATAACCATTTTGGTCAATGAAATATTGGCCTGAACTGTTAATGTTAATGTCAATGGTCAATGCTGGGCACAATACGTTTGTGGAATATAGGATATTTTTCAACGTCTTACCTCTCCAGAAGCTCTCCTCCTGTGTTCAGGTAGCACTAGAGTATTCCCATTGCTGCCCGGGACTATAGTAGAACCTGTACTCATTCTGGGTCCAACTAACATGTACCTTTTGTCCCCGGATCTGTACTGGATGCTGTGGCACAGTGTCCCGTCGTAATTCACGTCTTGTAAATACTTGGATGAATAGTCTGTGGGTTTGGAGCACTGCATTACAATCAACACGACGATACTGATGAGAAAAAGCGCTGAAACTGACCCCAAAGTAATGATCAAATAAAATGTAACGCTGTTCTCCTCCTCGTCTTTTACTGAGCTTTTAACATCAGAAGCTGCAAAAGCCTCTTTGGGCTCCACGACGTTGATAATCACAGTAGCTGTTGCTGAAAGTGAAACGTTCCCATTGTCTTTTACCAGTATGACCAGTTTATGCTCAGCCTCGTCTGTCTCTGTGAATGACCGAAGTGTCCTTATCTGTCCTGTATAGCGGTCCAAAGCAAAGAGACTGTGGTCAGTAACTTCCTGCAGTGAAAATAATAACCAGCCGTTATATCCTATATCAGCGTCATAGGCTCTCACTTTAGTCACCAAATGGCCTGCATTCACATTGCGGGGAATCTCCTCCAGATCTTCAGCTGAACCGTTAGCGCTGACTGGATACAAGATCACTGGAGCGTTGTCGTTCTGATCCAGAATGAACACATTCACTGTGACGTTAGTGCTTAGTGATGGAGTTCCAGAGTCTGTAGCTACAACTTGGAATTTGAAGTTTTTTAAAGTTTCAAAGTCAAAGCTTTTTAGCGCCAATATGTTCCCATTTTCTGAATTTATGTTTAGAAAAGATGCCCATTTGTTCTCCTCGCCACTGTCTCTCGGAATATGATATGAAATAAGCGCGTTTTCATTCATGTCACGGTCTGAGGCACTCACGGAAAATATTGAGGTGCCTGGGTCGTTATTCTCAGTGACATAGAAAGTATAGGGACTCAGTGAAAACTCTGGACTGTTATCATTCACATCTGATACAACAACGCGGATAGTCTTTATAGATGACAAGGACGGTTCCCCTGCGTCTTTGGCTACTATTGTTAGATCATAGTCAGACTGTTTTTCTCTATCTAGTGGTGACTTGGTGACTACAGAGTACATGTTGTCCTGTAAAGATGGCGTTAGAGTGAACGGGACGCCCTCACTTATAGAACACATAACTTTTCCATTGAGACCAGAGTCCAAGTCATTAACACTGATTAGTGCGACTGTGGTTCCGGGTCTAGAATCTTCGGGGATTGCGTTAGAAAATGATGTCACCTCTATCTCTGGTGCATTGTCGTTCAGGTCAACAATATTTACAATTACACTTTTGTCCGTTTTAAAAGGAGCAGGTCCCTTGTCAGATGCCTGTATATCAATGTCGTAGCTGTCTTCCATCTCAAAATCTATCCCTCCTTTTACAGTTATTTCACCGGTGTTGATATCCACATCGAAAAGCTCACGTAATTTCCTATTCACATTATTACCAAAGGAGTAAATTACCTCACCATTTGAACCTTCGTCTAAATCCGTAGCGTTTACCTGTACAACTTTTGTGCCAATGGGAGAATTTTCGTTCAGTTTTACAGTGTATGACTCTTCAGTGAAAACAGGCATATTATCATTTACATCTAAAACGTCTACAATTATTTCTATAGTCCCAGACCTTGGAGGTTTTCCGCCATCAATGGCCGTAAGTAGTAATCTATGGCTCCTTGTATTCTCTCTATCTAGCGGCTTCAGTAGATTCAAAACAGGAGTTTTCGCATCCTTGCCTCGGTCCTTAATTTCCAAACGAAAATGCTCATTATGACTGAGTTTATATTGTTGAACAGAGTATTGTCCGCTATCTGGGTCGAGTGCAGCTTGTAGCTGAAATCTCACGCCTGGTAACACGGACTCTGAAATCTCTAACCGTTTCTCTGTCTCGGGAAAGCTGGGAGAATGATCGTTAACATCTAACACCTCCACCGAGACATAATGGATCTCCAGCGGGTTCTCTAGAACGGTTTTCAGGTTGATCATACACACGCTGCTCCGTTCACACACATCCTCTCGGTCTATTTTTCGGTTCACATACAATATGCCGTTATTCTGGTTTACCTGGAAAAGGGGCTCGGTCGAGCCAGACACGATTCGGAATCCCCTATCCTTCAAGGTGCTCAGATCTATTCCCACATCTTTAGCTATATTCCCAACGACAGTTCCTTCGCTAAGCTCTTCAGAGATGGAGTATCTTATCTGAGCAGACGCTCCACTCCAAAAGAGAACCAAAGCAACCATGAAGGCGACCCACTGCCGTCGCTCCAGCCATGCCCTACATCCTCTTTGTTCCATGTTTTCTAGATGAATAACAATAATCCACAAAATTCTGCTATTCCTCTATTGGTAAGACCTTTCTATCATTACATTCCGAATAGGATCACTGTTCATTATCCAATAATGCATTAAGAATGTCAGTTTGAGATATTATTCTCTCCTCGATGTTGCATGACTGCTCCTCGCAGAGGGATTGAATAAGCAACGAAACCAACAAGGGGGCGGACTGAAAAGCATGAAGTCAATTGTATCTGTAAGGAGCATTATTCTGGTTGGGTACTGACACCTTGCGATTCTACCTGACATTGCACTATCGTTCAAGTTTATTAATGTTTCTATTTCAATACTGAACGTTGTCTTGACACATAACAAATATCAGACAATAGGTTACTGCAACAGATAAATGGATACATAAAATCAGGATAACCATGACAAACCATGTCTTCAGAAGAACAACTAAAGCGTTACTCATGAATGCAACAAGTGCCCCATAAGTAATAAGGAAGATTCATTTTTAAAAAGAGGATAGCTACATTGCTTGCGTTTGTATGTTATTCCTTTTTGGCAAAAATACCCAACGCCAATAGCGTGTTGAACAGCACAACATTTCAGCACCACTGTCGTGGACAGCGACCAGCGAGGCGTGGAAGGTAAATTGGCTGGTATATGAGCCTGCTACTTCTGGTGTGAGATCATGTGACAGCCAACAAACCTCTTACTGCTGCCAAAAACACCATTTACAAATTCACACTACCATTTTGGTCAATGAAATAATAACCTGAAATACTTCCAAAAGCAATGAGAATAGTCCATGTAATTTTACAACTCAAGCATATCCCACTGGTTGAATCCACGTAGTTTTAATGGCATTACGTTGAACCAACGTGGAATAGAATTTGAATTAACGTCTGTGCCCAGTGGGATGTAACGAGGGTCAGTGTGCTGCTAACAGCTTAGTTTCCTCCACTTTCGACTGCCACGTACTGGGCTCGAACCAGTAGTCCTCTGCTTCGCAACACACGTGACCGCTCTCATTATCAACGTTCCAATGGGTTGAGAAACCCAAAAGGTACTCTACCAATTGGATGGCTATGTCTGGAACATTTCAAGCTAGCTGTGGAGTGAGCTTACGGTACGTGCCTAACTCTGTAACACATACTGTCCACTATCAGCACTAGGCTACGTGAATGGTCAACACTGTGTACAGGATAATTAGGAATAAATGTTAGTTTCAACTTCTTACCTCTCCAGAAGCTCTTCTGTGGTCGGGTAGCACTAGAGTATTTCCTTTGCTGCCCGGGACTATAGTAGAACCTGTACTCATTCTGGGTCCAACTAACATGTACCGTTTGTCTCCGGATCTGTACTGGATGCTGTGGCACAGTGTCCCGTCGTAATTCACGTCTTGTAAATACTTGGAGGAATAGTCTGTGGGTTTGGAGCACTGCATTACAATCAACACGATGATACTGATGAGAAAAAGCGCTGAAACTGACCCCAAAGTAATTATCAAATAAAATGTAATGCTGTTCTCCTCCTCGTCTTTAACTGCTCTTTTAACATCGGAAGCTGCAAAAGCCTCTTTGGGTTCCACAACGGTGAAAATCACTGTAGCTGTTGCTGACAGTGAAACGTTCCCATTGTCTTTTACCAGTATGACCAGTTTATGCTCAGCCTCGTCTGTCTCTGTGAATGACCGAAGTGTCCTTATCTGCCCTGTATAGCGGTCCAAAGCAAAGAGACTGTGGTCAGTAACTTCCTGCAATGAAAATAATAACCAGCCGTTATATCCTATATCAGCGTCATAGGCTCTCACTTTAGTCACCAAATGGCCTGCATTCACATTGCGGGGAATCTCCTCCACACCTTCAGCGGAACCGTTACCACTGACTGGATACAAGATCACTGGAGCGTTGTCGTTCTGATCCAGAATGAACACGTTGACTGTGACGTTGCTGCTTAGTGACGGAGTTCCAGAGTCTGTAGCTACAACTTGGAATTGGAATGTTTTGAGAGTTTCAAAGTCAAAGCTTTTTAGCGCCAAAATGTTCCCATTTTCAGGATTCATGTTCAGAAAAGATGCCCATTTGTTCTCCTCGCCACCATCTCTCAAAATATGATATGAAATAAGAGCGTTTTCATTCATGTCACGATCTGAGGCAGTCACTGAAAATACTGACCCTCCTGGGTCGTTATTCTCAGCGACATAGAAAGTATAGGGACTCAGTGAAAACTCTGGACTGTTATCATTCACATCTGATACAACAACGCGGATAGTCTTTATAGATGACAAGGATGGTTCCCCTGCGTCTTTGGCTACTATTGTTAGATCATATTCAGACTGTTTCTCTCTATCGAGTGGTGACTTGGTCACTACAGAAAACATGTTGTCTTGTAAAGAGGGAATTAGTTTGAAAGGTAAATCTTCAAGTAGCGAGCAAAGAACTTTGCCATTGAGACCAGAGTCCAAATCATTAACACTGATCAGTGCTACAGTAGTTCCAGGTTTGGAATTCTCAGGGATTGCGTTAGAAAATGATGTCACTTCAATCTCAGGTGCATTGTCATTAACGTCAATTACATTGATAATAATAGTTTTGTCAGTTGTCAAAGGAGCTGTCCCCTTGTCTGATGCCTGAATATCAATTTCAAAGCTGTTATTTTCCTCGAAATTAATAACACCCTTTACAATTATTTCCCCCGTAATTGGGTCTAAATCAAAACGTTTCCGTACCCTACCGCCCACGTCGTTGGCAAAAGAATACATTATTTCACCATTTGAACCTTCGTCCAAATCAGTCGCGTTTATCTGTATGACTGTTGTGCCTAAAGGGGAATTTTCCTTCAGCAATACAGAGTATACTTCCTTAGTAAAGACAGGGGTGTTATCGTTTACATCTAATACATCTACAGTTATTCTCATGTCTCCAGATTTAGGAGGTTTACCTCCATCAATAGCTGTGAGCAGTAATCCATGGCTCCTTATGGCCTCTCTATCTAACGCCTTCTGTAAAATCAAAGTAGGGGTTTTGCGGTCCTCACTTCGATCTTTAACTTCCAAACGAAAATGATCATTGGGGCTGAGTTTATACTGCTGAATAGAATAAATGCCTCCATCTCGATCATGAGCAGCATTAAGCTGAAATCGAGCCCCAGGTACCGCAGACTCTGATATCTCTAACAGTTTCTCTTTCTCTGGAAAGCTGGGAGAATGGTCGTTCACATCTAACACCTCCACCGCAACATAATGGATCTCCAGCGGGTTCTCTAGAACGGTTTTCAGGTTTATCAAACACACGCTGCTCCGTTCACACACCTCCTCTCTGTCTATTTTTCGGTTCACATACAAGATGCCGTCATTCTGGTTCACCTGGAAAAGGGGTTCAGTCGAGCCAGATACGATTCGAAATCCCCTTTCCTTCAATGTGCTTAGATCTATTCCCAAATCCTTAGCTATATTCCCAACGACAGTTCCGTCCTTAAGCTCTTCATAGATGGAGTATCTTAACTGAGCTGAAGTCCCGCTCCAAAAGAGAACCAAAGCAACCATGAAGGCGACCCACTGCCGTTGCTCCCACCATGCCCCGCATCCTCTTTGTTCCATGTTTTCAAGATCAATAACAACAATCCACAGCACTTCCACTATTCCTTCATTGGTGACAGTTGTCTATCCATTATATTCCGATATGACCAAAGCACATTATCCAATAGTGTTTTCAGAATATAAAATGTAAATCTTATTCTCCCCACGAAGCTCACGTCTGTGTCATTCCAGCGACTGAATAAGCTACGAAACCAGCAAGGGGTTGGACTCAAAAGTATGACGAGAGGATGTCTACCAGGAGCGTTATTCTAGTTGGGTACTGACACCATGCGATTCTATCTCAGAATGCACTATCGTTTAAACGATTATTCAGGTATTTAGAAAAAATACATATCGAAGAAAACCTTACTGAAAAAGTTGTGAGGATTAAGAAAGTCCGGATACAGTTAACTGAGGTCTACAAACCATGACGCATAGCCTGAAGTATGCATCAATTGTCTCACCCCGACTGAAATAAATATTGAGAAATATTTATATAAATGAAGAGCATAGTTACTTGAAGTGCATGTAGGCCTACATGTCATCACTTTTTGGCAAACCTTCACCAGACAAACAGCGCATTGAAATAAACAGCATTTCAGCACTATGGTAGTGGACTGCGAACAGTGGTGAAAGCTATGGCTGCAAATGAGCCGGCTAGCTACTTTCATGATTTTCAATGTAATATGCTAACCCACAGTGCCTTCGGAAAGTATTCAGACCCCTTGACTTTTACCACATTTTGTTACGCTACAGCCTTATTCTAAAATTGATTAAATCGTTTTTTTCCTCATCAATCTACACACAATACCCCATAATGACAAAGCAAAAACAGGTTTTCAGAATGTTTTACTAATTTGTTAAAAATAAAAACGAAAATATCATATTTACATAAGTATTCAGACCCTTTACTCAATACTGTGTTGAAGCACCTTTGGCAGAGATTACAGCCTCGAGACTTCTTGGGTATGACGCTACAAGCTTGGCACACATGTATTTGGGGAGTTTCTCCCATTCTTCTCTGCAGATCCTCTCAAGCTCTGTCAGGTTGGATGGGGAGCGTTGCTGCACAGCTATTTTCAGGTCTCTCCAGAGATGTTCGATCAGGTTCAAGCCCGGGCTCTGGCTGGGCCACTCAAGGACATTCAGAGACTTGTCCCAAAGCCACTCCTGCGTTGTCTTGGCTGTGTACTTAGGGTCGTTGTCTTGTTGGAAGGTGAACCTTCGCCCCAGTCTGAGGTCCTGAGCGCTCTGGAGCAGGTTTTCATCAAGGATCTCTCTGTTCTTTTCTCCGTTCCTCTTTCCCTCGATCCTGACTAGTCTCCCAGTCCCTGCCACTGAAAAACATCCCCACAGCATGAAGCTGCCACCACCATGCTTCACCGTAGGGATGGTGCCAGATTTCCTCCAGAAGTGTCGCTTGGCATTCAGGCCAAAGAGTTCAATCTTGGTTTCATCAGATTCGAGAATCTTGTTTCTCATGGTCTGAGAGTCTTTAGGTGCCTTTTGGGAAACTCCAACCGGGCTGTCATTTGACCTTCAATGCTGCAGACATGTTTTGGTACCCTTCCTCAGATCTGTGCCTCGACGCAATTCTGTCTCGGAGCTCTACGGACAATTCCTTTGACCTCATGGCTTGGTTTTTGCTCTGACATGCACTGTCAACTGTGGGACCTTATATAGACAGGTGTGTGCCTTTCCAAATGATGTCCAATCAATTGAATTTACCACAGGTAGACTCCAATGAAGTTGTAGAAACATCTCAAGGATGATCAATGGAAACAGGATGCACCTGAGCTCAATTTCGAGTCTCATTGCAAAGGGTCTGAATACTTATGTGTGTAAGGTATTTGTGTTTTTGTTTTTTTATAAATTTGCAAAAAAATCTAAAAACCTGTTATCACTTTGTCATTATGGGGTATTGTGTGTAGATTGCTGAGGATTTGTATTTATTTAATCCATTTTAGAATGCGTCTGTAATGTAACAAAATGTGGAAAAAGTCAAGGGATCTGAAAACTTTCCGAAGCCCAGGTTTTAGAACGGCTGCCATGTTAGCACCCATATCGAACTTTATTCTTGAAATATTGGTGATGTAACAATGACCCGCTGTAAACACGCAAAACATTGCAGCGAATTTAACAGACGTTTTTATTGATCAGCATTTGGGATAATGTGTATCCAAGTCTTTACTGTGTTGTAGTGTTAACAAATTGCATATCTGCTTTCAGTGGACATCTTCATAGGTTTAGAAAACTATCAGAAATGAACAACACAACACGGAAGTGTCAATTATCACTTAGCAACGTTAAAGATGTGGTAAAGAGGTCAATTGAACACGACCAAAACAATGGAATTGCCATGGAAACGGTTGGGGAATTGCCATGCTAACCAGCATACACGAACGGGAGTTAGCATTTAGCAGTCACTTCTTCTAAACCTGAAAAGGGAGGACTTATAAATGTTGTGCAGCGAAAACAGATAAATATATCCATATCGGACTTAAGTAACCACATTGTGGGCCTATTACAATACATAAATCATGACGGATTTTAGGAATATCTACTTTGTTAGATCAGATTTGTTGAATGTATGCCAATCTTGTCAATGGATAGGTCTGCATTCCATTGATGCCTTAACCGCATCTATGGAGGAGAAAGTGGAGCTCTCGGAACGTTCAACCGCATTGGCCTAAGTCTCTATATATATGGCTTTAGGATAACCCTCTTAATCGACAACATAACATTTTCAGCCCATTATCAGCCTGAAAACATCATCATGGCACGTTTTTACAAAAAGCTAAACTGCCAGGGCAGCTGAAGTTTTTCTCAATACATTGCAGTCAATGGGAAAAGATGTGTGTCACAGGGTTGACATTTTTCTCAGTACATTGCAGTCAATGGGAAAAGATTAGTCACAGGGTTGACGTTTTTCTAAGTATATAGCAGTCAATAGGAAAATATAAGTGTCAGAGGGTTGATGTTTATCTCAATACATTGCAGTCAATGGGAATAGATGATTGTCACATGGTTGACGCTTTTCTCAATACATTGCAGTCAATGGGAAAAGATGTGTCACAAGGTTGATGTTTTTCTCAGCACATTGCCATCAATTGGAAAATATGAGTGTCCCAGGGTTCAGGTTTTTCTCAGTACATTGCAGTCAATGGGAAAATATGAGTGTCACAAGGTCGATTTTTTCCCAGCACATTTTCATCAAATGGAAAATATGAGTGCCCCAGGGTTGATGTTTTTCTCAGTACATTGCAGTCAATAGGAAAAGATGAGTGTCACAGGATGTTTTTTTCTCAATATATTGCAGTCAATGGGAAAAGATGAGTCTCACAGGGTTGACATTTTTTTAAATACATTGTAGTCAATGGAAAAAGCTGAGTGCCACATGGTTGACATTTATGTCAATACATTGCAATCAATGTGAAAAGATGAGTGTCACAGGGATGAAGCTTATATCAAAACATAGCAGTCAATGGGAAAAAATAAGCCTCAACCAATTTAATTGTATATCAATAAGACACATTTTCCCATTGACTGTACTGAGGAAAACAAACACTGTGACACTCATCTGTTCCCATTGACTGCACATTTGAACTTTTTGTTCCAGGATGACGTTTTCCTATGATAGCATGTTGCCATAATTGTTTTTATTTTACGTTTATTTTACCAGGTAAGTTGACTGAGAACACATTCTCATTGACAGCAACGACCTGGGGAATTGATACAGGGGAGCGGAAGAAGGATGATAAGACAATTGGAAGCTGGGGATGATTAGGTGACCCCTATGGTTTAAGGGTCATATTGGGAATTTAGCCAGGACACCGGGGTTAACAGTACTCTTACGATAAGAGCCATGGGATGTGACCACATTGAGTTATTTGACACATTTATACACTATGAAATAATAACATATACAATTTCCAAGCTCAGGGACAGCACCAGCAAACAGTTAGTAATTAGAATATAATTTAACTTCTTACCTCTCCAGAAGCTCTCCTTCTGTGTTCTGGGGGGACCACTAAAGTATTCCCGTTGCTGCCTGAGACTATAGTAGAACCTGTACTCATTCTGGGTCCAACTAACATGTACCGTTTGTCTCCGGATCTGTACTGGATGCTGTGGCACAGTGTCCCGTCGTAATTCACATCTTGTAAATACTTGGATGAATAGTCTGTGGGTTTGGAGCACTGCATTACAATCAACACGATGATACTGATGAGAAAAAGCGTTGAAACTGACCCCAAAGTAATGATCAAATAAAATGTAACGCTGTTCTCCTCCTCGTCTTTTACTGAGCTTTTAACATCAGAAGCTGCAAAAGCCTCTTTAGGTTCCACAACGTTGATAATCACAGTAGCTGTTGCCGAAAGAGAAACGTTCCCATTGTCTTTTACCAGTATGACCAGTTTATGCTCAGCCTCGTCTGTCTCTGTGAATGACCGAAGTGTCCTTATCTGTCCTGTATAGCGGTCCAAAGCAAAGAGACTGTGGTCAGTAACTTCCTGCAGTGAAAATAATAACCAGCCGTTATATCCTATATCGGCGTCATATGATCTCACTTTAGTCACCAAATGGCCTGCATTCACATTGCGGGGAATCTCCTCCACACCAGCAGAACCGTTAGGGCTGACTGGATACAAGATCACTGGAGCGTTGTCGTTCTGATCCAGAATGAACACCTTCACTGTGACGTTGCTGCATTGTGAGGGAGTTCCAGAGTCTGTAGCTACAACTTGGAATTGGAACGTTTTGAGGATTTCAAAGTCAAAGCTTTTTAGCGCCAATATGTTCCCATTTTCAGGATTCATGTTCAGAAAAGACGCCCATTTGTTCTCTTCGCCACCGTCTCTGACAATATGATATGAAATAAGCGCGTTTTCATTTATGTCACAATCTGAGGCAGTCACTGGAAAATACTGACCCTCCTGGGTCGTTATTCTCAGTGAGATAGAAAGTATAGGGACTCAGTGAAAACTCTGGACTGTTATCATTCACATCTGATACAACAACGCTGATAGCCTTTATAGATGACAAGGACGGTTCCCCTGCGTCTTTGGCTACTATTGTTAGATCATATTCAGACTGTTTTTCTCTATCTAGTGGTGACTTGGTGACTACAGAGTACATGTTGTCCTGTAAAGACGGCGTTAGAGTGAACGGGACGCCCTCACTCACAGAACACAGAACTTTGCCATTGAGACCAGAGTCCAAGTCATTAACACTGATTAGTGCTACAGTAGTTCCTGGTCTAGAATCCTCAGGGATTGCGTTAGAAAATGATGTCACTTCTATCTCAGGTGCATTGTCATTAACGTCAACTATTTTGATTATAACACTTTTTTCAGTTGTCAAAGCAGCTGCCCCCTTGTCTGATGCCTGAATATCAATTTCATAGTTTTTATTTTCTTCAAAATCTATAACTCCAGTTACAATTATTTCACCAGTTTTCGGGTCTAAATCAAAACGTTTCCGCACCTTCCCTTGCACGTCATTGCCAAAAGAATAGATAACTTCACCATTAGAACCCTCGTCCAAATCAGTGGCATTAACCTGTATCACAGTTGTGCCTAAAGGAGCGTTTTCATTCAGCAATACTGAGTATACGTCCTTTGTAAAGACTGGGGCGTTATCGTTGACATCTGATACATCTACAATTATTCTGATTTCTCCAGACCTAGGAGGTTTCCCACCGTCAAGGGCTGTAAGCATTAGCTTATGGCTTTTTATAGCCTCCCTATCCAGTGTTTTTTGTAAAACCAAAATAGGTGTTTTGCGGTCATCACCTCTATCTTTAACTTCCAAACGGAAATGATCATTGTGACTGAGTTTATAATGTTGAACTGAATATTGGCCACCGTCTGGGTCGTCTGCAGCATGCAGCTGAAATCGGGTCCCCGGTAACGCAGATTCTGACATCTCTAACCTTTTCTCTTCCTCTGGAAAGCTGGGAGAATGGTCGTTAACATCTAACACCTCCACCGTGACATAATGGATCTCCAGCGGGTTCTCTAGAACGGTTTTCAGGTTTATCAAACACACGCTGCTCCGTTCGCACACCTCCTCTCTGTCTATTTTTCGGTTCACAAACAAGATACCGTTATTCTGGTTTACCTGGAAAAGGGGCTCGGTCGAGCCAGACATGATTCGAAATCCCCTATCCTTTAAGGTGTTCAGATCTATTCCCAAATCCTTAGCGATATTCCCCACGACAGTTCCTTCTTTAAGCTCTTCAGAGATGGAGTATCTTATCTGTGCAGAACCTCCGCTCCAACAGAAAACCAAAGCTACTATGAAGACGAACCACTGCCGTCGCTCCCACCATGCCCCGCATCCTCTTTGTTCCATGTTTTCAAGATAAATAACAGTAATCCAGAGCACTTCCACTATTCCGTCATTGGTGACAGTTGTCTATATATTATATAAACAAATGTGGCCAAAGCTCATTATCCAAAAGTGTTTTCAGAATGTAAATTTGAGATTGTATTCTCCCCACGAAGCTCACGACTGTGTTCCTCTAGCGACTGAATAAGATACGAAAACAGCAAGGGGGCGGACTCAAAAGTATGACAAGAGGATGTCTAACAGGAGCGTTATTCTAGTTGGGTACTGACACCATGTGATTATACCTCACATTACACTATAGTTTAAGATTATTCATGGTATTTTGTCACAGTAAATATCAAAGAGAAAACCTTACTCAATAAATTGTGTGGATGAAGAAAGTAAGGATACAGATTACTGAGGTCTACATACCATGATGCAAAGCCTGGCACCATTTACTGACGTGTCCCACATCAGACAGAAATAAAGATGGGGGAAATGTGTATAAATCAACAGGATCGCTACATGACGTGCATGTACACCACCATCACATTTTGGCAAACCTTCTCCAGACAAACAGCGCATTTAACTTATAGCGTTTCAGCACCACAGCCATGTACAATGGCCAGTACTGAAAGCATGAGGCTGTGGCAAGCTACTTCGATAAGCGATGTTATGAGATCATGTTTCATCCAATAGGCTAATCCTTTCACTAGACAACATAACATTTGACAACATTTATACATTATGAAATAATAATGTAGGCAATTTCCAAGTTCAGGCAAACTATCAGCAATCGTTAGTAATTAGAAACGTATTTAAGTTCTTACCTCTCCAGAAGCTCTCCTCCTGTGTTCAGGTAGCACTAGAGTATTCCCGTTGCTGCCCGGGACTATAGTAGAACCTGTACTCATTCTGGGTCCAACTAACATGTACCGTTTGTCTCCGGATCTGTACTGGATGCTGTGGCACAGTGTCCCGTCGTAATTCACATCTTGTAAATACTTGGAAGAATAGTCTGTGGGTTTGGAGCACTGCATTACAATCAACACGATGATACTGATGAGAAAAAGCACTATAACTGACCCCAAAGTAATGATCAAATACAATGTAATGCTGTTCTCCACCTCGTATTTTACTGCGCTTTTAACATCAGACGCTGCAAAAGCCTCTTTGGGTTCCACAACGTTGATAATCACAGTAGCTGTTGCTGACAGTGAAACGTTCCCATTGTCTTTTACCAGTATGACCAGTTTATGCTCAGCCTCGTCTGTCTCTGTGAATGACCGAAGTGTCCTTATCTGTCCTGTATAGCGGTCCAAAGTAAAGAGACTGTGGTCAGTAACTTCTTGCAGTGAAAATAATAACCAGCCGTTATATCCTATATCAGCGTCATAGGCCCTCACTTTAGTCACCAAATGGCCTGCGTTCATATTGCGGTGAATCTCCTCCACACCTTCAGCGGAACCGTTAGCGCTGACTGGATACAAGATCACTGGAGCGTTGTCGTTCTGATCCAGAATGAACACGTTCACTGTGACGTTGCGGCTTAGTGACGGAGTTCCAGAGTCTGTAGCTACAACTTGGAACTGGAATGTTTTGAGAGTTTCAAAGTCAAAGCTTTTTAGCGCGTAAATGGTACCATCAGAATTAATATTTAGGTAAGATACAATAGGAGAATCTCCATCACCTTTCCAAATATGATACGACACACGAGCGTTGTCATCCTGATCTCTATCTGATGTACTCAATAAAAACAAAGACTCGCCTGGAGCGTTGTTTTCAGGTACATAAAAAGTATATGGACTCTGGGAAAAGACAGGGCTGTTGTCGTTAACGTCTGAGATATGGACCGTGATAGTTTTGTGGGATGACAATGATGGGTCTCCTTTATCCGTAGCAGTTATAGTCACTGTGTACATAGGCTCCAACTCTCTGTCCAATCCACTTTTAGTAATCAAAGAATACATATTTTTCTGAAAAGACGGTTTTAATTCGAAAGGGATTTTGTCCGAGATTGTACATATAACCAAGCCGTTTTCACCAGAGTCCTTGTCAGACACACTGATTAGAGCTACAGCTGTACCGGGTCGTGCGTCCTCGGGGACTTGGCCTGACAGAGACGTTACGTCCATCTCAGGTGCGTTGTCATTAACATCTTTCACGTTGATAACGACACTGCAGTGACCAGTCAAAGTAAAGTGGCCCTTGTCAGATGCCTGCACATCAATTTCGTAAACACTCTGCTCTTCAAAGTCTACTAATCCCTTGATTGTAATTTCCCCTGTAACTGCATCTATCTCGAAATAATCGAACGCTTTGTTTTTAAGACTCTTATCAAATGAGTATATAACCTGTCCGTTTGCGCCATCATCTAGATCCGTGGCGTGCACCCTCAAAACAGAGGTACCTAAGGGAGCATTTTCATCTAAAGTTACCGTATACACCTGTCGGTCAAAGACTGGTGCATTGTCATTAACATCAATAACAGTTATTGTAATATTGACTGTGCCAGATCTCACTGACTTACCTCCATCAAACGCAGTCAAAACTAACATAATTTCAGGCTTCTGCTCTCGGTCTAGCGGCTTTTTCAAAATCAAGAAAGGGATTTTATCCTCTCCGCGAGTTTTAACATCTAACTCGAAGTGATCGTTAGGACTGAGACTGTACTTACGGAGACTATTCCCTCCAACATCAGGGTCCCGCGCAGCGTCCAGAGGAAAGCGCGTTCCCTGCGATACAAGATTCTCTGCTATTTCCAAGAGCTTTATATTTTCCGGGAAATTAGGAGAATGATCATTTATATCTGTGATTTCTACCTCAACATAATGTATTTCCATTGGATTTTCTGCTATGGTTTTTATATTGATTAAACACACATTGTTTTTCTCACACAGCTCCTCCCTGTCGATGTTTCTGTTCACATACAACACGCCATTGTCTTGGTTTATCTGCAAAAAACCTTCCTTAGAGCCCGATACAATCCGAAACCTTCGTTCCGCCAGTTTATCCACACTGAACCCCAGATCCTTTGCTACGTCTCCCACATAAGTACCTTCTTTCGACTCCTCCGCGATAGAATAGCGAATTTGACAATAAGCTCCACGGCCAAAGCACAACAAAAAGAAAAACAACATCATCGCCCTGAGAGGCGCCCCTCTTCTCCGTCCGTCTACCATTTTGCCAAGTCCTGTCATTTTGGAACCATTACAGTCCGCTTTATCAAGAAAAATAAAGATGACAAGGTTATCCACAAAACATACCCAAGCAACCTTCCATGCAGATGGTATTCTCCCTTCTAGAAATCCAGTGCCCGTTTCACTCGACCCGTATGATTTTCAATGAGCCAACACGACAAAGAGAGGGAGGGATTTAAACAAAGTAGGTGTTTCTAACACTGAAGAGCAGCGACACCATGCGCACAACATCACCACGCGCAAGAACTCAACGAACATAAATATGTGACATGTTAAACAGCACGTTGAACTGTACAGTGTTTCAGCACCACTGTCGTGGACAGCGATCACTTACAAAAGCAGTGATGCGCGGCTGATTTCAATGAGATAACCTGTGAGAGGGTAGGGTTGTTAATGCCACCTGTGAGAGGAGTAGGGTTGTTATTGCCACAACCATACTCCGACCAAAACAACATATTAGACCTACTCAAATAAAATGCAGATCAGACGGAACTTACAAACCGAATAGGATACTGAACTATGTAAGTGCTATGTGTTGGGTATTTGCTCAGTAGGGGTGGGTATTTTTTCAGTAGACCATACGGAGCCATGGTACCGAGTGGTACCCAAGATCAGACCATAGGTTAAAAATAGTAAATCTTTCTAGACTATAAAGATTAAAATATAGCTAATTATAAATACAGAGTGTGGTACAGAATGGTACGGAGGATGAGGCAATAAGACTAAGTGATGTGGAGTGTGGTACCGAATGGTACACAAGGAGGGAGTCTGAGCCAGAGTCAGGAAATGGCTCTTGATTGATTATACTGTTATGTATGAGGCAATGCATTAGGAATGTCTAAAATGTATTATGGTTGGGAATGGGTTATGGATCTGCTATGTTTAAACCATATTTCAGTATCGATTGATATGTTTTGGAATGAACAGAGCAGAGCCAGGTGGTGGCTCTGTTATTTTTCACATGAGAAAGTTTGGTTTGGCCACCATTGTATCCAAACTAAATAAATATAGGAGGAGAAGTCAGATTTCGCCACTATCATAAATTAAGAGAGTGGGCGGTGCGGTCAAAAGATGAAAGTTTGGAGACAATTGGGGAGAAACTGAACTGGGAGGGTTTCAAGCTAAAAGTATGTCAAACGAGCAGGAATGACTGTATATAACTGAGGGCCGAGTGTTGTGAGTTAGCTGCTCTGCAGACCAGCTCGGCTTTTGTTGCTCTATGTAATAAAGTATATCTTGATTCTACAAAAACTCTGCAAGAACTTTGATTTTTCATAAGTATAGTGATAATTTTCCACGACATTTGCAGTTACAAAACATGTAGTTCTTACCTCTCCAGAAGTTCTGCTAATGTGTTCGGGCAGCACTAGAGTATTCCCATTGCTGCCCGGGACAATAGTAGAATCTTTAGTCCAACAATAATCCACAGCACACCAAACTATGCTTCTATCATCAATGACCCTTGCCCATCACATTCCCAAATATGATCACTGATTCAAAAAAAATAAAAGCATTTTAGTTGCATTCAATCCAAACTGTTACAGACCCATATCCATCCTGCCCTGCCTTTCAAACGTTTTTGAAAGCCAAGTCAACAAACAGATCACCGACCATTTCGAATCCCACCGTACCTTCTCCGCTATGCAATCCGGTTTCCGAGCTGGTCATGGGTGCACTTCAGCCACGCTCAAGGTCCTAAACGATATTATAACCGCGATCGATAATAGACAGTACTGTGCAGCCGTTTTCATTGTACCTGGCCAAGGCTTTCGACTCTGTCAACCACCGCATTCTTATTGGCAGACTAAATAGCCTTGGTTTCTCAAATGACTGCCTCGCCTGGTTCACCAACTACTTCTCAGATAGAGTTCAATGTGTCAAATCGAAGGGCCTGTTGTCTGGACCTATGGCAGTCTCTATGGGGGTGCCACAGGGTTCAATTCTTGGGCCGACTCTTTTCTCTGTGTATATCAATGATGTCGCTCTTGCTGCTGGTGACTCTCAGATCCACCTCTATGCAGACGACACCATTTTGTATACATCTGGCCCTTCATTGGACACTGTGTTAACAAACCTCCAAACGAGCTTCAATGCCATACAACACTCCTTCAGTAGCCTCCAAATGCTCTTAAACACTAGTAAAACTAAATGCATGCTCTTCAACCGAACGCTGCTTGCACCCGCCCACCCGACTAGAATCACTACTCTCGACGGATCTGACCTAGAGTATGTGGACAACTACAAATATCTAGGTGTCTGGTTAGACTGTAAACTCTCCTTCCAGACTCACATTAAGAATCTCCAATCCAAAGTTAAATCTAGAATCGGTTTCCTATTTCGCAACAAAGCCTCCTTCACTCATGCTGCCAAACACGCCCTCGTAAAACTGACTATCCTACCGATCCTTGACTTCGGCGATGTCATTTACAAAATAGCCTCCAACACTCTACTCAGCAAATTGGATGTAGTCTATCACAGTGCCATCCGTTTTGTCTCCAAAGCCCCATATACTACCCACCACTGTGACCTGTACGCTCTTGTTGGCTGGTCCTCACTACATATTCGTCGCCAAACCCACTGGCTCCAGGCCATCTATAAATCACTGCTAGGCAAATCCCCGCCTTATCTTAGCTCATTGGTCACCATAGCAGCACCCACCCGTAGTCTGCGCTCCAGCAGGTATATCTCACTGGTCATCCCCAAAGCCAACACCTCCTTTGGCCGCCATTCCTTCCAGTTCTCTGCTGCCAATGACTGGAACAAATTGCAAAAATCTCTGAAGCTGGAGACACTTATCTCCCTCACTAACTTTAAGCATCAGTTGTCAGAGCACCTTACCGATCACTGCACCTGTACACAGCCCATCTGAAATTAGCCCGCCCAACTACCTCATCCCTATATTATTATTTATTTTGCTCATTTGTACCCCAGTATCTCTATTTGCACATCATCTCTTGCACATCTATCATTCCAGTGTTAATACTAATTGTAATTATTTTGCACTATAGCCTATTTATTGCCTTACCTCCATAACTTGCTACATTTGCACACACTGTATATATATTTATTTATGTTGTATTTTTGACTTTGTTTTGTTTTACCCCATATGTAACTCTGTGTTGTTGTTTTTATCGCACTGCTTTGCTTTATCTTGGCCAGGTCGCAGTTGTAAATGAGAACTTGTTCTCAACTGGTTTACCTGGTTAAATAAAGGTGAAATAAAATAAATAAAAAAATTGTGTTCTAAATCTCTCCTCGCAGCTCACGACTGTTGTCTGCTAGCAGCGAAATTACAAACCAACCAAGGGGAGGACTCAAAGGTATGACCTGGAGATTTCTTTCAAGAGCATAATTCTAGTTAAAGCACGGACACCGTGCGATTCTACCACACATTGCAATCATTAACTTAAATTGTGTGTAGGGTTTATGTGTAGGCTAATAGAGGCTGATATTATCTACCAGCAACTTGATAGAGATTTACAAAAATATAAAATAAAGCATATTGCATAGTTTGTATGTTATATTTTCTTTTGAAGAGCCGCAAAACAACAGTGTTTCAGCACCACGCAAATGGACAGCGACACATCACAAGTGCATTATTCTGCCTTGCAGAAACACACAGCTCTAAGGCGATACAACTTTGAGTTACTCTTTAATTGATTTAGGATGCCCCACACATCATATTCTGTAGCAAATTGGTGGTATTAAAAGGACACTTAAAGAACTACAAAAAACGAATGCAATACAATTCCCTCCAAACTGTCGTAGATAACAGAACTAAAACGAATACACTTGAACAAACCTCTAAATAGCAAAGCAAGTTCCAAAATACATACGTTCATATAATTTTATTGAGACAATGAATCTATGCACTGTACAGTACAGGCTTTATAGTTAATGAGGACCAAACACAACGTGTAACTTGAATAACAACTTTACAACCTTACCTCTCCAGAAGCTCTTCTGTGGTCGGGTAACACTAGAGTATTTCCATTGCTGCCCGGGACAATAGTAGAACCTGTACTCATTCTGGGTCCAACTAACATGTACCGTTTATCTCCGGATCTGTACTGGATGCTGTGGCACAGTGTCCCGTCGTAATTCACATCTTGTAAATATTTGGAGGAATAGTCTGGGGTTTTGGAGCACTGCATTACAATCAACACGATGATACTGATGAGAAAAAGCGCTGAAACTGACCCCAAAGTAATGATCAAATAAAATGTAACGAAATTCTCTTCCTCGTCTTTTACTGAGCTTTCAACATCTGAAGCTGCAAAAGCCTCTTTGGGCTCTACAACGTTGATCTTCACAGTAGCTGTTGCTGAGAGTGAAACGTTCCCATTGTCTTTGACCAGTATGACCAGTTTATGCTCAGCCTCGTCTGTCTCTGTGAAAGACCGAAGTGTCCTTATCTGTCCTGTATAGCGGTCCAAAGCAAAGAGACTGTGGTCAGTAACTTCCTGCAGTGAAAATAATAACCAGCCGTTATATCCTATATCAGCGTCATAGGCTCTCACTTTAGTCACCAAATGGCCAGCGTTCACATTGCGTGGAATCTCCTCCACACCTTCAGCGGAACCGTTCGTGCTGACTGGATACAAGATCACTGGAACGTTGTCGTTCTGATCCAGAATGAACACGTTCACTGTGACGTTGCGGCTTAGTGACGGAGTTCCAGAGTCTGTAGCTACAACTTGGAACTGGAACGTTTTTAAAGTTTCAAAGTCAAAGCTCTTTAGCGCCAAAATGTTCCCATTTTCAGAATTAATATTAAGAAAAGATGCCAATTTGTTCCCCTCACCACCTTCTATCGGAATATGATATGAAATAACTGCGTTTTCATTTATGTCACGATCTGAGGAACTGACTGAAAATACTGAGCCTCCTGGGTCGTTGTTCTCAGTGACATAGAAAGTATAGGGACTCTGTGAAAACTCTGGACTGTTATCATTCACATCTGATATAACAACGCTGATAGTCTTTATAGATGACAAGGAAGGCTGGCCTTCGTCTTTAGCAAATATTGTAACGTCATAATGAGCCTGTTTCTCTCTATCCAGTTGTGACTTTGTGACTACAGAATATATGTTATCCTGTAAGGACGGCATTAGTTTAAAAGGGACGTCCTCACCATTTATAGAGCAGATCACTTTCCCATTGAGACCAGAGTCCATATCATTAACACTGATTAATGCGACAGTAGTTCCGGGTCTAGAATCCTCGGGAATGGCGTTGGAAAAGGATGTCACCTCTATTTCGGGTTCATTGTCGTTGACATCAACTATCTTTATGATCACACTTTTGTCTGTTGTTAGTGGAGCAACTCCTTGATCTGACGCTTGTATGTCAATCTCATAGCTATCTTTTATCTCAAAATCGATTTGCCCTCGAACCGTTATTTGCCCAGTTTTGGCATCTAAATCAAAAAGTTTCTGTATTTTGCTATTCACGTCATTACCGAATAAGTATATTACATGTCCGTTGACACCGTCATCTAAATCAGTTGCGTTTACCTGAATAACAGTTGTACCTACCGGAGAGTTTTCATTTAACATTACTGAGTACACATCTTTGGTGAACAAAGGTGTGTTGTCATTAACATCTAATACATCTACAGTTATTTCAATAGTTCCAAATCTCGGGGGATTTCCACCATCAATGGCAGTGAGGAGTAATTTATGGCTTCTTATAGCTTCTCTATCTAGTGGCTTCTGTAAAACCAAAAACGGCATTTTGCCATCTTCACCTCGGTCTTTGACCTCAACACGGAAATGTTCATTGTGACTGAGTTTATATTGTTGAACAGAGAATTGGCCACCATCCAAGTCGCGCGCAGCTGGCAGCTGAAATCGCGCCCCCGGTAATGCAGATTCTGAAATCTCTAACCGTTTCTCTTTCTCTGGAAAACTGGGAGAATGGTCATTGACGTCTAACACCTCAACCGCAACATAATGGATCTCCAGCGGGTTCTCTAGAACAGTTTTCAGGTTAATTAAACACACGCTGCTGAGTTCGCACATCTCCTCTATGTCTATTTTTCGGTTCACATACAATATTCCGTCATTCTGGTTTACCTGGAAAAGGGTCTCGGTAGAGCCAGAAACTATTCGAAATCCCCTTTCCTTTAAGGTGCTTCGCTCTACACCCAAATCCTTAGCTATATTCCCCACGACAGCTCCTTCTTTAAGCTCTTCAGAGATGGAGTATCTTATCTGTGCAGAACCTCCGCTCCAACAGAAAACCAAAACTACCATGAAGACGAACCACTGCCGTCGCTCCCACCATGCCCCGCATCCTCTTTGTTCCATGTTTTCAAGATAAATAACAGTAATCCAGAGCACTTCCGCTATTCCGTCATTGGTGACAGTTGTCTATATATTATATAAACAAATATGGCCAAAGCTCATTATCCAAAAGTGTTTTCAGAATGTAAATTTGAGATTGTATTCTCCCCACGAAGCTCACTACTGTGTTCCTCTAGCGACTGAATATGATACGAAAACAGCAAGGGGGCGGACTCAAAAGTATGACAAGAGGATGTCTAACAGGAGCGTTATTCTAGTTGGGTACTGACACCATGTGATTATACCTCACATTACACTATAGTTTAAGATTATTCATGGTATTTTGTCACAGTAAATATCAAAGCGAAAACCTTACTCAATAAGTTGTGTTGATTAAGAAAGTAAGGATACAGTTCACTGGGGTCTACATACCATGATGAATAGCCTGGGACACCATTTACTGACGTATTCAACAAGTGTCCCACCCCGACAGAAATAAAAATTGAGAAATATTTGTATAAATTAACAGGATAGCTACTTGAGGTGCATGCACACCACCAACACATTATGGCAAAACTTCACAAGACAGACAGCTCATTGAACTTATATAGCGTTTAAGCACCACAGCCGTGGACAGCGACCAGTCCTGAAAGCATGTGGCTGTGAACGAGCCGGCAAGCTACTTCGATGAGCGATATTATGAGATCATGTTTCATCCAATAGGCTAGTGCTTTTACTAGACAACATAACATCTGACACATTTATACACTATGAAATAATAATATTGGCAATTTCCAAGCTCAGGGACAGCACCAGCAAATGGTTAGTAATTAGAAACGTATTTAAGTTCTTACCTCTCCAGAAGCTCTCCTCCTGTGTTCAGGTAGCACTAGAGTATTCCCATTGCTGCCCGGGACTATAGTAGAACCTGTACTCATTCTGGGTCCAACTAACATGTACCGTTTGTCTCCGGATCTGTACTGGATGCTGTGGCACAGTGTCCCGTCGTAATTCACATCTTGTAAATACTTGGAGGAATAGTCTGGGGTTTTGGAGCACTGCATTACAATCAACACGATGATACTGATGAGAAAAAGCACTATAACTGACCCCAAAGTAATGATCAAATAAAATGTAACACTGTTCTCCTCCTCGTAGTTTACTGCGCTTTTAACATCAGAAGCTGCAAAAGCCTCTTTGGGTTCCACAACGTTGATAATCACAGTAGCTGTTGCTGAGAGTGAAACGTTCCCATTGTCTTTTACAAGTATGACCAGTTTATGCTCAGCCTCGTCTGTCTCTGTGAATGACCGAAGTGTCCTTATCTGTCCTGTATAGCGGTCCAAAGTAAAGAGACTGTGGTCAGTAATTTCCTGCAGTGAAAATAATAACCAGCCGTTATATCCTATATCAGCGTCATAGGCTCTCACTTTAGTCACCAAATGGCCTGCGTTCACATTCCGGGGAATCTCCTCCACACCTTCAGCGGAACCATTAGCGCTGACTGGATACAAGATCACTGGAGCGTTGTCGTTTTGATCCAGAATGAACACGTTCACTGTGACGTTGCGGCTTAGGGACGGAGTTCCAGCGTCTGTAGCTACAACTTGGAACTGGAATGTTTTGGTAGTTTCAAAGTCAAAGCTCTTTAGCGCGTAAACGTTACCATCAGAATTAATATTTAGGTAAGATACAATAGGAGAATCTCCATCGCCTTTCCAAATATGATAAGACACACGAGCGTTGTCATCCTGATCTCTATCTGATGTACTCAATGAAAACAAAGACTCGCCTGGAGCATTGTTTTCAGGTACATAAAAAGTATATGGACTCTGGGAAAAGACAGGGCTGTTGTCGTTAACGTCTGAGATATGGACCGTGATAGTTTTGTGGGAAGACAATGATGGGTCTCCTTTATCCGTAGCAGTTATAGTCACTGTGTACATAGGCTCCAACTCTCTGTCCAAACCACTTTTAGTAATCAAAGAATACATATTTTTCTGAAAATACGGTTTTAATTCGAAAGGGATGTTGTCCAAGATTGTACATATAACCAAGCCGTTTTCACCAGAGTCCATGTCAGACACACTGATTAGAGCTACAGCTGTACCGGGTCGTGCGTCCTCGGGGACTTGGCCTGACAGAGACGTTACGTCCATCTCAGGTGCGTTGTCATTAACATCTTTCACGTTGATAACGACACTGCAGTGACCAGTCAAAGTAACGTGGCCCTTGTCAGATGCCTGCACGTCAATTTCGTATACACTCTGCTCTTCAAAGTCTACTAACCCCTTGATTGTAATTTCCCCTGTAACTGCATCTATCTCGAAATAATCGAACGCTTTGTTTTTAAGACTCTTATCAAATGAGTATATAACCTGTCCGTTTGCGCCATCATCTAGATCCGTGGCGTGCAGCCGCAGTACAGACGTGCCTAAGGGAGCATTTTCATCTAATGTTAATGTATACACCTGTCGGTCGAAAACGGGAATATTATCATTCATATCGATAACTTTTACGGTTATATTGACAGAGCCAGATCTCTCTGGTTTACCCCCGTCATACGCTGTCAACGTTAACAATATTTCAGGCTTATGCTCTCTGTCTAGCGGCTTTTTCAATATCAAAAAAGGGATTTTATCCTCGCCGCGAGTTTTAACATCTAACTCAAAGTTCTCGTTTGTACTGAGAGTGTACTTACCGAGACTGTTAGCTCCAACATCAGGGTCACGCGCAGCATCCAGGGGAAAGCGCGTCCCCTGGAGCATAACGCTCTCGGATATTTCCAAATGTTTCACCTTTTCCGGGAATTTAGGAGAATGATCATTCATATCTGTAATTTCTACCTCAACATAGTGTATTTCCAACGGATTTTCGGCGACGGTTTTTAGGTTTATCAAGCACATAATGCTTTTCTCACACAGCTCCTCCCTGTCGATGTTTCTGTTCACATACAACACGCCATTGTCTTGGTTTATCTGCAAAAGACCTTCCTTAGAGCCCGATACAATCCGAAACCTTCGTTCCGCCAGTTTATCCACACTGAACCCCAGATCCTTTGCTACGTCTCCCACATAAGTACCTTCTTTCGACTCCTCCGCGATAGAATAGCGAATTTGACAATAAACTCCACGGCAAAAGCACAACAAAAAGACAAACAACAGCATCGCCCTGAGAGGCGCCCCTCTTCTCTGTCCGTCTACCATTTTGAAAATTCCTGTTAATTTGGAAACGTTACATTCCGTTTTATACCGAAAAATCAAGATGACAAGGTTATCCACCAAACATATCCAAGCAACCTTTCATGTGGCTGGTATTCTCCGTTCCAGAAAGGCAGTGCCGGTTTCACTAGAAATATATGATTTTCAATGAGCCAACACGACAAAGACAGGGAGGGATTTAAACCAAATGCATGTTTCTAACACTGAAGAGCAGCGACACCATGAGCACAACATCACCAATCGCACCAACTCAAACTAAAACATAAATACGTGACATGTCAAACAGCACGTTGAACTGTACAGTGTTTCAGCACCACTGTCGTGGACAGCGATCACCTACAAAAGCAGTGATGAGCGGCTGATTTCAATGAGATAACCTATGAGAGGAGTACGGTTGTTAATGCTACAACCATACTCCGACCGAAGCCAGATATTAGACACACTAAAATAAAATGCAATTCAGACGGAACTTACAAACAAAATAAGACAATCAAATATGCAAGTGCTATGCAGTTACAAAAAAGTATTGTTCTTACCTCTCCAGAAGCTCTGCTCCTGTGTTCAGGTAGCACTAGAGTATTCCCATTGCTGCCCGGAACTATAGTAGAACCTGTACTCATTCTGGGTCCAACTAACATGTACCGTTTGTCCCCGGATCTGTACTGGATGCTGTGGCACAGTGTCCCGTCGTAATTCACATCTTGTAAATATTTGGAGGAATGTTCTGTGGTTTTGGAACACTGCATTACAATCAACACGATGATACTGATGAGAAAAAGCGCTGAAACTGACCCCAAAGTAATGATCAAATAAAATGTAACGAAATTCTCTTCCTCGTCTTTTACTGAGCTTTTAACATCTGAAGCTGCAAAAGCCTCTTTGGGCTCTACAACGTTGATCTTCACAGTAGCTGTTGCCGAGAGCGAAACGTTCCCATTGTCTTTTACCAGTATGACGAGTTTATGCTCAGACTCGTCTGTCTCTGTGAATGACCGAAGTGTCCTAATCTGTCCTGTATAGCGGTCCAAAGCAAAGAGACTGTGGTCAGTAACTTCCTGCAGTGAAAATAATAACCAGCCGTTATATCCTATATCAGCGTCATAGGCCCTCACTTTAGTCACCAAATGGCCTGCGTTCACATTACGGGGAATCTCCTCCACACCTTCAGCGGAACCGTTAGCACTGACTGGATACAAGATCACTGGAGCGTTGTCGTTCTGATCCATAATGAATACGTTCACTGTGACGTTACTGCTTAGTGACGGAGTTCCAGAGTCTGTAGCTACAACTTGGAATTGGAACGTTTTGAGGATTTCAAAGTCAAAGCTTTTTAGTGCGGAAATATGTCCATTATCAGAATCGATGTTCAGAAAAGATGCCATATCATTCTGTGTCCCTTCTCTAACTATATGATATGAAATCGCAGCATTTTCATTCAAGTCTTTATCAGAGGCGCTTACAGAGAATATGGACGCACCTGGAACGTTATTTTCCACTAAGTACAGCTCAAGGGTTTTGGGGGAGAATTCTGGGCTGTTGTCGTTCACATCTGATATCTGGACGCTCAGAGTTTTGAATGTGGACAGAGGAGGCTGACCACAGTCAATGGCTGTTATTGTGATGTCATAATGGGACACGAGTTCTCGATCTAAGCGCCCCTTTGTGGCGATAGAATACACATTCTCCTGAAATGATGGTTTTAATTCAAATGGTATGTCTTCAGATATACTAGCAATGACTTTACCATTAATACCGGAATCTTTATCTGTTACACTGATGAGAGAAATAACAGTTCCTGGTTTAGAATCTTCGGACACTGTGTTATAGAGGGAAGTCACATCTATTTCTGGTTCGTTATCATTTACATCTCCTATTTTAATAATAACTCTACAATCAACACTTGTTGGAGGTTGTCCCTTATCAGAAGCCTGTACATTTAACCTGTAAACCTCCTTTACTTCAAAATCAACCTGGCCTTTGACTTGAATTTCACCAGTTACGTGATCTAATTCAAAGATGTCATGTATTTTACGCTTTATGGTTCTTCCAAGTGTGTATTCCACTGCTCCATTTGGGCCATCGTCAGCATCTGTGGCGTTTACTCTGAGGACAATAGTTCCATTTAGAGCGTTTTCAGGCAATGTTACTGAATATTCGTCTTGACTGCAGATGGGTCGGTTGTCATTTACATCAAGAACTGTAACAGTGATATTCAAGGTGCCTGACTTAGGTGGATTCCCTCCGTCTAGTGCTGTAAGTAATAGCATATGTTTGGTGTTTTGCTCTCTATCCAATTGCTTCTGCAAAATTAAAAATGGTATTTTGTCACCTTCACCACTATCAATTAACTGTAATTCAAAATGTGCATTTTGACCTAACTTATACAAATGAACAGAATTGATTCCAACGTCAACATCGCGCGCAGTCTGGAGTTCGAATCGCGCACTTGGAAAGGTATTTTCTGGCATTTCTAGATACTGATCTTTTTCAGGGAAAATAGGAGAGTGATCATTTATATCCGTTATTTCTATGCTGACATAGTGGATTTCAAGTGGATTTTCGACAGCGATTTTGAGGTTTATCAAGCATGCGTTATTGCCATCACAGAGCTCCTCTCTGTCGATATTTTTATGAACATACAAGGCGCCATTGTTCTGATTTACCTGGAAAAGAGAGTCCTCAGATCCAGAAACGATACGAAACCGTCTCTCCACCAAAGTACTGACGTCAAGATCCAAATCCTTAGCAACATTTCCAACAATGGATCCCTCTTTCACCTCCTCTGGAATAGAGTACCGTATCTGTGCCGAAACCTTCTCCCCGAAGCACAGCAGCAAAGATACATTCTGAATAACCCACCAGTACTCCCATCTGCGCCTTTGTCCTCCGTCTCCCATTGTAAAAACAACCAAACACGATCCCAAAATTGCAATCCTTATGATCAGATGGCCAACTCGTTATGATCCATACTAAAACTGATTCTTCAGCAAGAAAACATTACAAAATAATCTGTTCAGCATAGCGCGTCTTGTTCTGATGTCCGCACCACTCTCTCTGTATGTGTCGAACAAACCAGCCCAGTGAGGGGCAGGGCCTATTCTACAAAGTACCATACAGTCAGTCTCCTTGTGTTACACTGACACCAGGCGGACCTAGGTTCTGGTTACCACACCTATGAAGATTTAACGGTTAAGAGATTCCATGTGAAGATATGTAAAAACACTACTACTTATACTTTTAGTAACAGCTAAACAATGAGAAAGGATGAAAGGGAAAAACAATGTTATCGCCTCGTTAAGACCGAAGTGTATATGGCAAAAGTAACAAACATATTTAGGCTAAGGTAGTGGATGACTTCACCAACGTAAAAAAGAAAGACTAGAATTCAGCACCACTGCAGTGGACAGCTATTTTTTCCGGATAGCTTCAAATAAACTTCCCCATTATGCACGGACAAAACATTCCAATATACATGGGAGCCATTTGAAAAAATGACTAATCTGTACTGAGATAAGGTAGGACCTATTTATCAAAAACATAACTAAAAATAACAATAACAGACTACATATAATACTTGTAAATGTTTGAAAGAGCAACTCTTAAAACAGTTCTTACCTCTCCAGATGCAGGCCTCCTGTGGTCGGGTAACACTAGAGTATTTCCATTGCTGCCTGGGACAATAGTAGAACCTATACTCATTCTGGGTCCAACTAACATGTACCGTTTGTCTCCGGATTTATACTGGATGCTGTGGCACAGTGTCCCGTCGTAATTCACATCTTGTAAATATTTGGAGGAATAGTCTGGGGTTTTGGAGCACTGCATTACAATCAACACGATGATACTGATGAGAAAAAGCGTTGAAACTGACCCCAAAGTAATAATCAAATAAAATGTAACGCTGTTCTCCTCCTCGTCTTTTACTGAGCTTTTAACATCAGAAGCTGCAAAAGCCTCTTTGGGTTCCACAACGTTGATAATCACAGTAGCTGTTGCTGAAAGTGAAACGTTCCCATTGTCTTTTACCAGTATGACCAGTTTATGCTTAGCCTCGTCTGTCTCTGTGAATGACCGAAGTGTCCTTATCTGTCCTGTATAGCGGTCCAAAGCAAAGAGACTGTGGTCAGTAACTTCCTGCAGTGAAAATAATAACCAGCCGTTATATCCTATATCAGCGTCATAGGCTCTCACTTTAGTCACCAAATAGCCTGCGTTCACATTGCGGGGAATCTGCTCCACAACTTCAGCTGAACCGTTAGCGCTGACTGGATACAAGATCACTGGAGCGTTGTCGTTCTGATCCAGAATGAACACGTTGACTGTGACGTTAGTGCTTAGTGACGGAGTTCCAGAGTCTGTAGCTACAACTTGGAATTGGAACGTTTTGAGGATTTCAAAGTCAAAGCTTTTTAGCGCAGAAATATGTCCATTTTCAGAATTGATGTTCAGAAAAGAAGCCATATCATTCGGTGTCCCTTCTCCTCTAACTATGTTATATGAAATCGCGGCATTTTCATTTAAGTCTTCATCAGAGGCGCTTACAGATAATATTGACCTACCAGGGGCGTTATTTTCCACTAAGTACAGCTCAAGAGGGGTTTGGGTGAATTCTGGACTGTTATCGTTCACATCTGATATCTGTACGCTGAGAGTTTTGAATGTGGACAGAGGAGACCGGCCAAAATCAGTTGCTGTTATTGTGATGTCATACTGGGAAAAAAGTTCTCGATCTAAACGCCCCTTTGTGACAATGGAATAGACATTCTCCTTAAATGACGGTTTTAACTCAAAAGGGATATTCTCAGATATTTTCGATAGGACTTTACCGTTGTTACCGGAGTCTTTATCCGTTACACTAATTAGAGATATGACCGTTCCAGGCTTAGAATCTTCAGATATCATGGTAGACAATGATGTCACCCCTATTTCTGGTTTATTATCGTTTATGTCCGTTATCGTGATGACAACTCTACAATCGACTGATAATGGGGGCTGTCCTTTATCAGAGGCTTGCACTGTTAGCTTGTAAAACTCATTCTCTTCAAAGTCTACTGGACCTATAACACGAATTTCACCAGTAAGACTGTTCAAATTAAATATGTCATGAACTTTGCGCTTAATGTTTCTACCAAGTGCATATTCAATTTCGCCATTTTGTCCCTCATCTGTATCAGTGGCGTTTATGGTTAATACAGCTGTTCCAATGGGTGCATTTTCCTGGATTGTTACAGTATAAAGATCTTTACCACAAATTGGACGATTATCATTTGTATCAAGAATAGTTACTGTGACATTTAAAGTACTTGATCTTGGGGGATTGCCTCCATCTATAGCTGTCAGAATTAACGAATGCTTTGCATTTTGTTCTCTGTCAATGGCCTTCCTTGTGATTAAAAATGGAACTTTGTCTTCGTCTCCATTATCAATTAACTCCAATTCAAAATGAGCATTACTACTTAACTTGTACATGCGCACAGAATTAACTCCTACATCTGCATCACGTGCAGTCTGGAGTTCAAAGCGCGTCCCAGAAAGGGTATTTTCTGCTATGTCTAAATGTAGATATTTTTCAGCAAAAATAGGCGAGTGGTCATTTACATCCGTTATTTCTACACCCACATAATGGACTTCTAAGGGGTTTTCAACAACGACTTTTAAGTCTATCGAACACACGCCATTGCCATCACAGAGCTCCTCTCTATCGATATTCTTACGAACGTACAAGACGCCATTGTTCTGATTTACCTGGAAAAGAGCTTCATCAGATTCAGAAACAATACGAAACCGTCTCTCCACCAAGGTACTGACGTCAAGACCCAAATCCTTAGCAACATTTCCAACAACGGATCCCTCTTTCACCTCCTCTGGAATAGAGTACCTTATCTGTGCTGAAACCTGCTCTCCGAAGCACAGCAGAAGGGAGAAACGCAGAGCAACCCACCAGTACTCCCATCTGCGCCTTTGTCTTCCATCTCCCATCGTTAGACAGAAAAGTAAGCACAATCCTCAATGAAATAATACAATCCTAATGATCAGATGACCAACTCATAATGATCCACAACGAATGCAATGTTTCAGCACAGAAAAATAATACAATTATTCTCTGACTATCATAGCACGTCCTGTTCTGATGTCCTCACCGCTCTCTCTGCATTTGGGGACAAAACATCCCAGAGAGGGGCAAGGCCTAATTTACAAAACACCAGACAGTCAGTCAGACTCCTTGTGTGACACTGACACCATGCGGACCGAGCTATTGCTTGCCACGAGTACACAAGGCTCTAGAATGATTGTACCTCTCTGTATTAGCTTTAGCAAATGTATCAGCACTATATTTACATTTTAGTCATTTAGCAGACGCTCTTATCCAGAGCGACTTAGAGGAGCAATTAGGGTTAAGTGCCTTGCTCAAGGGTACATCGACAGATTTTTCAACTAGTTGGCTCGGGGATTAGAACCAGCGACCTTTCGGGTTCTGGCACAACGCTCTTACCCACTAAGCTACCTGCCGCTCACCAATGCTCCTGGAGAAAAGTTTGAGAGAGAGTAAAGTGATATGGAACAAGACTAATATGTTTATGGGAAGCATAAATGTAGACGAATGAGATAGTAGATACTACGTTTTCAAATAAAACAATGCACTTGTAATTAAGGAGCACACGGGCGGACAGCTACCGCATCCACGAGTTCAGTTCTCCTCCATTACGCACAGAAAAAGCGTTTGTTGACAGAGGAATCACGTACAATAATGAGTCTTGTTGGGACCTGGTTATGGCAAGTCACATATTAAAAAAGAGAGATCAGCATATCTAAATTATATTTATATATTTATATATTTTTTAACACGCGAATATCAGCCAACAACACAAATAAGACATTAAGCATCGATTCAGCACGATCGGGATGGACAGCAACCGCTTCATCGTCAGTCAAAAATTATTTACTTACGCACTGGAGTCATTCAAATTTACATTATAGTCATTTAGCAGACGCTCTTATCCAGAGCGACTTACAGTTATTGAATACATATTTTTTTAATACTGGCCCCACGTGGGAATCGAACCCACAACCCTGGCGTTGCAAACGCCATGCTCTATCAACTGAGCTACATCCATGCCGGCCATTCCCTCCCCTACCAATTGTGCGCCGCCCATGAGTCTCCCGGTCGCGGCCGGCTGCGAGAGAGCCTGGATTCGAACCAGGATCACAGTTAGCACTGCGATGCAGTGCCTTAGACCACTGCGCCACTCAGGAGTTAATCACAATCTATAATCATTCAGACTTAAATGCATAGAAACAGCTCTTACCTCTCCAGAAGCTCTCCTTCTCTGTTCGGGTAGCATTATAGTATTCCCATTGCTGCCCGGGACAAGAGTAGAACCTATACTCATTCTGGGTCCAACTAACATGTACCGTTTGTCTCCAGATCTGTACTGGATGCTGTGGCACAGTGTCCCGTCGTAATTTGCATCTTGTACATACTTGGATGAATAGTCTGTGGGTTTGGAGCACTGCATTACAATCAACACGATTATACTGATGAGAAAAAGCGCTGAAACTGACCCCAAAGTAATGATCAAATAAAATGTAACGCTGTTCTCCTCCTCGTCTTTTACTGAGCTTTTAACATCAGAAGCTGCAAAAGCCTCTTTTGACTCCACCGCGTTGATCTTCACAGTAGCTGTTGCTGAGAGTGAAACGTTCCCATTGTCTTTTACCAGTATGACGAGTTTATGCTCAGACTCGTCTGTCTCTGTGAATGACCGAAGTGTCCTTATCTGTCCCGTATAGCGGTCCAAAGCAAAGAGACTGTGGTCAGTAACTTCCTGCAGTGAAAATAATAACCAGCCGTTATATCCTATATCAGCATCATAGGCCCTCACTTTAGTCACCAAATGGCCTGCGTTCACATTACGGGGAATCTCCTCCACACCTTCAGCGGAACCGTTAGCACTGACTGGATACAAGATCACTGGAGCGTTGTCGTTTTGATCCAGAATGAACACGTTCACTGTGACGCTGCTGCTTAGTGACGGAGTTCCAGAGTCTGTAGCTACAACTTGGAATTTGAATTTTTTGAGGGTTTCAAAGTCAAAGCTTTTTAGCGCGGAAATATCTCCATTATCAGAATCGATGTTCAGAAAAGATGCCATATCATTCTGTGTCCCTTCTCCTCTTACAATGTGATATAAAATAACAGCATTTTCATTCAAGTCTTTATCAAAGGCGCTTACAGAGAATATGGATGCACCAGGGGCGTTATTTTCCACTAAGTACAGCTCAAGGGGGGTTTGGGAGAATTCTGGTGTGTTATCGTTTACATCTGATATCTGGACGCTCAGAGTTTTGAATGTGGACAGAGGAGGCTGACCACAGTCAGTGGCTGTTATTGTGATGTCATAATGGGACACGAGTTCTCGATCTAAGCGCCCCTTTGTGACTATAGAATATACATTATCCTGAAAGGAAGGTTTCAATTCAAATGGCACATCTTCTGATATACTACATATCACTTTGCCGTTGATACCTGCGTCTTTGTCTGTTACACTAATAAGAGAAATAACAGTTCCTGGTTTTGTGTCTTCAGGCACTGTATTTGAGAGGGATGTTACATCAATATCTGGTATATTATCGTTAACATCAATTATCTTTATGATTACTCGACAATCAACAGTCAGTGGAGGCTGGCCTTTATCAGACGCCTCTATATTTAACCTGTACACCTCATTTTCCTCGAAATCTACTGGGCCTTTAACTCGAATTTCTCCAGTAACGCTAACTAATTGGAAGATTTCATGAACTCGCCGCTTTAAATTCCTACCGAGAGTATATTCAACTTCTCCATTTGATCCATAGTCTGCATCAGTCGCGTTAATCGTAAGTATAGTTCTACCTATATCAGAATTTTCCTGTAATGTCACTGAGTAAACGTCTTGGCTACAGACTGGTTGATTGTCATTTGTATCAAGAACTGTGACAGTAATGTTCACAGTACCTGATCTAGGCGGATTCCCCCCATCCAGTGCTGTCAATAGTAATACATGTTCAGTCTTCTGCTCTCTATCTAAGGCTTTCTGTAAGACTAAAAGGGGGATTGTATACCCTTCACCACTATCTCTCAGCTCTAAATCAAAATGTTCGTTTTGATTTAATTTATAAATACGTATAGAATTAATTCCTGAATCCAAATCACGCGCAGTCTGGAGTTCAAAACGAGCACCTGGAAGTTTATTTTCTGCTATTTTTAAATGTATATCTTTCTCTGAGAAGCTGGGTGAATGGTCATTTATATCCGTTATCTCTAAACCTACATAATGGACTTCTAAGGGGTTTTCAACAACGAGTTTCAGGTTTATCAAGCAGGCGCTATTGCCATCACAGAGCTCCTCTCTGTCGATATTCTTATGAACATACAAGACGCCATTGTTCTGATTTACCTGGAAAATAGCGTCCTCAGATCCAGAAACGATCCGAAACCGCCTCTCAATCAAAGTACTGACGTCAAGACCCAAATCCTTAGCAACATTTCCAACAACGGATCCCTCTTTCACCTCCTCTGGAATAGAGTACCTTATCTGTGCTGAAACCTGCTCCCCGAAGCACAGCAGCAAAGAGAAACGCAGAGCAACCCACCAGTACTCCCGTCTACGCCTTTGTCTTCCATCTCCCATCCTTAAACACGCAACAAAACAGGATCCTCAATGAAAAAAATACAATCCTACTGATTAGGTGACCAACTCGTTATGATCCATACTGAATCCAATCTTTCAGCACAGAAAACAAAGAGAATAATTCTCTGTCCAACAGAACACGTCCTGCTCGTATGTCCTCACCGCTATCGTATGTGTGGAACAAAACAGCACAGAGAGGGGCAGGGCCTAACCTACAAACAATATCCTAGTATTACACTGACACCCTGAGGTTCGTTATTCGGTATTCATAACCATATGAACTTGGAGTTATTGTCTGTTTTCTCCTTGCCATAACTATGTAGTAGCAGTCAAGGAATGAGAACATTTAAAAAAAGGAGCGAGAGATGGAGATGGACTTACACACTTAAGCGAAGATACATGCAGCAAGTGAGCTGGTATTTCAGCACCACCGAAGTGGACAGCGACCGCACCAACAACCTGATTTCTATTACACACGGTAAAGACAATCCAATGAACCGAGAAAAAATTTAATTATCAAATGACCAACAAGATGCTTACATACAGGACATATTAACTGTTGAAATGCTTAGAACCAGTTCTTACCTCTCCAGAAGCTCTTCTGTGTTCGGGTAACACTAGAGTATTCCCATTGCTGCCCGGGACAATAGTAGAACCTGTACTCATTCTGGGTCCAACTAACATGTACCGTTTATCTCCGGATCTGTACTGGATGCTGTGGCACAGTGTCCCGTCATAATTCACATCTTGTAAATACTTGGAGGAATAGTCTGTAGGTTTGGAGCACTGCATTACAATCAACACGATGATACTGATGAGAAAAAGCGCTGAAACTGACCCCAAAGTAATGATCAAATAAAATGTAACGAAATTCGCTTCCTCGTCTTTCACTGGGCTTTTAACATCTGAAGCTGCAAAAGCCTCTTTGGGCTCTACAACGTTGATCTTCACAGTAGCTGTTGCTGAAAGTGAAACGTTCCCATTGTCTTTTACCAGTATGACCAGTTTATGTTCAGCCTCGTCTGTCTCTGTGAATGACCGAAGTGTCCTTATCTGTCCCGTATAGCGGTCCAAAGCAAAGAGACCGTGGTCAGTAACTTCTTGCAGTGAAAATAATAACCAGCCGTTATATCCTATATCAGCGTCATAGGCACTCACTTTAGTCACCAAATGGCCTGCATTCACATTGCGGGGAATCTCCTCCACACCTTCAGCGGAACCGTTAGCGCTGACTGGATACAAGATCACTGGAGCGTTGTCGTTCTGATCCAAAATGAAAACGTTTATTGTGACGTTTCTGCTTAGAGACGGAGTACCAGAGTCTGTAGCTACAACTTGGAATTTGAACGATTTGAGGGTTTCGAAATTAAAGCTTTTTAGCGCGGCAATATCTCCATTATCAGAATTGATATTAAGGAATGATGCCATATCATTCTGTGTCCCTTCACCTCTAACTATGTGATATGAAATCGCAGCATTTTCATTTAAGTCTTCATCAGTGGCGCGTACAGAGAATATGGATGCACCAGGGGCGTTATTTTCCACTAAGTACAGCTCAAGGGGGTTTTGGGAGAATTCTGGACTGTTATCGTTCACATCTGATATCTGGATGCTCAGAGTTTTGAATGTGGACAGAGGAGGCTGACCACAGTCAGTGGCTGTTATTGTGATGTCATAACCAGACACTAGCTCTCGATCTAAACGCTGTTTGGTTACTAAAGAATACATATTATCTTCATATGACGGTTTTAACTCAAACGGTACATCGTTGGAGATACTACACAAAACTTTACCATTAATACCTGAGTCTTTATCCGTCACACTAATGAGAGAAACAACAGTTCCTGGTTTTGAATCTTCTGAAACCACATTGGACAGTGATGTCACCTCTACTTCTGGTTGGTTATCATTAACATCAATTATCTTTATAATTGCTCTGCATTCCACAGTTAAAGGAGGTTGTCCTTTGTCTGAAGCCTGTACATCTAGTTTATAAACTGCTGTGTCCTCGAAGTCCACCTCACCTTTAACTTTAATTTCTCCAGTTAAGCTATCCAGTTCAAAAATATCATATACTTTACGCTTTAGGTTTCTGCCTAAAGTATACTCCAACTCACCGTTTGAACCCTCATCTAGATCAGTGGCATTTACCCTAGCAACCAGAGTACCAAGTGCGGCATTTTCCCGTAGCCTCACTGAATAGGTGTCTTGACTACAAACCGGACGGTTATCATTCGAATCAAGCACATTAATAGTGACGTTGACAGTCCCTGATCTTTGTGGACTACCTCCATCAACTGCAGTAACAAGTAATCTGTGTTTGGTTTTGAGTTCCCTGTCCAACGCTTTTTTCAAGACTAAGAAAGGTATTTTGTCTTCATCGTCTCTAATCTCAATTTCAAAATGATCGTTCTGACTTAATTTATACAAACGGACAGAGTTTAACGCTATATCTGGATCCCGTGCAGCCTGGATTTGGAAGCGCGTCCCTAGCATGGTATGTTCCGCTATTTCCAAATACTGCTCCTTTCCAGGAAAAATAGGAGAGTGATCATTGACATCGGTGATTTCGACACCTACATAATGAATTTCTAAGGGGTTTTCAACAACCATTTTCAGGTTAATCAAGCAGGCGCTATTGCCATCACAGACCTCCTCTCTGTCGATATTCTTATGAACGTACAAGACGCCATTGTTCTGATTTATCTGAAAAAGAGCGTCCTTAGATCCAGAAACGATACGAAACCGTCTCTCCACCAAAGTACTAACGTCAAGACCCAAATCCTTAGCAACATTTCCAACAACGGATCCCTCTTTCACCTCCTCTGGAATAGAGTACCTTATCTGTGCTGAAACCTGCTCCCCGAAGCACAGCAGAAGAGAGAAACGCAGAGCAACCCACCAGTACTCCCATCTACGCCTTTGTCTTCCATCTCCCATCGTTAGAAAGAAACGTAAACACAATCCTCAATGAAAAAATACAATCCTAATGATCAGATGACCAATTCATAATGATCCATAACGAATGCAATGTTGCAGCACAGAAAAATAATACAATTATTCTCTGACTATCATAGCACGTCCTGTTCTGATGTCCTCACCGCTCTCTCTGCATTTGGGGACAAAACATCCCAGAGAGGGGCAAGGCCTAATATACAAAACACCAGACAGTCAGTCAGTCTCCTTGTGTGACACTGACACCATGCGGACCGAGCTACTGCTTGCCACGAGTACACAAGGCTCTAGAATGATTGTACCTTCCTGTATTAGCATCAGCAAATGTACCAGCACCATATTATAGTTACAGGCGTGGTATATGTAAAGGTTGAGTGGGATTAAAAGGAAAATGATTATGAATAAATGGATGTGAGGACTACAGATGTAAAATACTGACATAGTAAATACCTCGATTGCAAGGAAAAACAATGAACTTTGTAAATCAGCACCACGAGAGTGGACAGAAACCGCATGAATGAGTTCATTTCTCCATTACGCACAGACAATCAGTTTTGTAGACAGGGGAATTACACTAATGAGTCTTGTTTGGACCTGGTTTATGACTATTCACCTATTTGAGAGAGATCATCATATCTCATGCATATATAAACCAAAAACAAACGCAAGTGATTAAGAATGAATTCAACACCACCACGGTCGACAGCAACCGCTTCATCATCCGTCACACATTCCATTACGCACGATAAATACATTCAAATAACCAGCAACATGCTTTCGAAGTTTAATGCTTGGAAACAGTTCTTACCTCTCCAGAAGCTCTACTCCTGTGTTCGGGTAGCACTAGAGTATTTCCATTGCTGCCCGGGACAATAGTAGAACCTATACTCATTCTGGGTCCAACTAACATGTACCGTTTGTCTCCAGATCTGTACTGGATGCTGTGGCACAGTGTCCCGTCGTAATTCGCATCTTGTAAATACTTGGATGAATATTCTGTGGGTTTGGAGCACTGCATTACAATCAACACGATGATACTGATGAGAAAAAGCGCTGAAACTGACCCCAAAGTAATTATCAAATAAAATGTAGTTCTGTTCTCCTCCTCGTCTTTCACTGCGCTTTTAACATCAGAAGCCGCAAAAGCCTCTTTGGGCTCCACAGCGTTGATAATCACAGTAGCTGTTGCTGAGAGTGAAACGTTCCCATTGTCTTTTACCAGTATGACCAGTTTATGCGCAGCCTCGTCTGTCTCTGTGAATGACCGAAGTGTCCTTATCTGTCCTGTATAGCGGTCCAAAGCAAAGAGACTGTGGTCAGTAACTTCCTGCAGTGAAAATAATAACCAGCCGTTATATCCTATATCAGCGTCATAGGCTCTCACTTTAGTCACCAAATGGCCTGCGTTCACATTCCGGGGAATCTCCTCCACACCTTCAGCTGAACCATTAGCACTGACTGGATACAAGATCACTGGAGCATTGTCGTTCTGATCCAGAATGAACACGTTCACTGTGACGTTGCTGCTTAGTGACGGAGTTCCAGAGTCTGTAGCTACAACTTGGAATTGGAATGTTTTGAGGGTTTCAAAGTCAAAGCTTTTTAGCGCAGAAATATGGCCATTATCAGAATTTATATTCAGAAAAGATGCCATATCATTCTGTGGCCCTTCTCCTCTAACTATGTGATATGAAATCGCAGCATTTTCATTCATGTCTTTATCAGAAGCGCTCACAGAGAATATGGAAGCACCACCGGCGTTATTTTCCACTAAGTACAGCTCAAAGGGGTTTTGGGAGAATTCTGGACGGTTATCGTTCACATCTGATATCTGGACGCTCAGAGTTTTGAATGTGGACAGAGGAGGCTGGCCACAGTCAGTGGCTGTTATTGTGATGTCATAATGGGACACGAGTTCTCTGTCTAAACGTCCCTTTGTGACTATAGAATACACGTTATCCTTATATGAAGGTTTTAACTCAAATGGCACGTTTTCAGATATACTGGAAATAACTTTTCCGTTAATACCAGAGTCTTGATCTATCACACTGATGAGCGATATAACAGTTCCAGGTTTAGAATCTTCAGACACTGTGTTAGATAGTGATGTAACCTCAATTTGTGGTCTGTTGTCGTTCACGTCTTGTATCTTTACAATAACTCTGCAATCAGTTGTCAGTGGAGGCTGGCCCTTATCAGACGCCTGTACATTTATGCTGTACACCTCATTTTCTTCAAAATCTACCGGGCCTTTCACCTTAATTTCCCCAGTAATGCTATCCAACTGGAAAATGTCATGTACTCTCCGCTTTAAATTTCTACCGAGAGTATATTCAATCACGCCATTTGACCCATGGTCTGCATCGGTTGCATTAATTCTAACTACAAATCTACCGATATCTGAATTTTCTTGTAATGTAACTGAATAGACGTCCTGACTACATACAGGCTGATTATCATTTAAGTCAAGGACTGTGACAGTTATGTTCAGAGTACCTGATCTAGGCGGATTCCCCCCATCAAATGCTGTCAATAGTAATACATGTTTGGTCTTCTGTTCCCTGTCCAAGGCTTTCTGTAGAACTAAAAACGGGATTTTATCCCCTTCCCCACTATCTCTCAGCTCTAAATCGAAATGTTCGTTTTGATTTAATTTATAGGAACCTATAGAATTAATTCCTACGTCCAAATCACGCGCAGGCTGGAGTTCAAATCGAGCTCCTGGAGGTTTATTTTCTGCTATCTCTATATGTAGATTTTTCTCAGAAAAACTGGGCGAGTGGTCATTTACGTCCGTTATCTCTAAACCTACATAGTGGACTTCAAGAGGATTTTCAACGACGATTTTCAGGTCTATCACGCAAGCAACCTTGCTGTTACAAATCCCTTCTCTGTCGATATTCTTATGAACATACAAGACGCCATTGTTCTGATTTACCTGGAAAAGAGCCTCCTCAGATCCAGATCCAGAAACGATACGAAACCGTCTCTCCACCAAAGTACTGACGTCAAGACCCAAATCCTTAGCAACATTTCCAACAACGGATCCCTCTTTCACCTCCTCTGGAATAGAGTATCTTATCTGTGCTGAAACCTGCTCCCCGAAGCACAGCAGCAAAGAGAAACGCAGAGCAACCCACCAGTACTCCCATCTGCTTCTTTGTCCTCCGTCTCCCATCGTTAAATAGACAAATTAAACACAATGCTCAATGAAAAAATACAATCCTAATGATCAGATGGCCAATTCGTAATTATCCATACTGAGTTCAATGCTTCAGCAACCAAAATAGAAGACTATTCTCTCTGTCTTAGGACGTCTTGTTTTGATGTCCGCACCACTCTCTCTGTATGTGTGGAACAAAACAGACCAGAGATGGGAAGGGCTTAATCTACAAAGCACCAGTCTCCTTGTGTTACACTGACACCACGTGGTCCAGGATTCTGGTATCCACAACAACTACATAGGCTCCGAGAGAGTTGTTATCAATGTACGTTTTGCATCCAAACAAACAAATACACCAACTACTGTAAATTAGCTATAAGAAGGTGTAATATCAAGATGACGGTGAGTAGATGTGAGTAGAAGAGATAGAGACTGAATTGAAGGACTACAGCAGAAGAACATATAATAAACCTGAGGTACAGTAGTTAGCCTAGCAGTATAATGCTCTCACCAGCTAAACTAATCGGTGAGCTGGTAGTTCAGCTCCATGGAAAGCAACCGCTGCTGCAAAGAGTTTGCGTTAGCCACGGACAAAACATGGTAATGCATATATTATGTGGTGTAAAGGTTTAGAGACAGCTCTTACCTCTCCAGAAGCTCTCCTCCTTTGTTCTGAGGGAACCACAAGAGTATTCCCATTGATGCCCGGGACTATAGCAGAACCTATACTCATTCTGGGTCCAACTAACATGTACCTTTTGTCTCCGGATCTGTACTGGATGCTGTGGCACAGTGTCCCGTCGTAATTCGTATCTTGTAAATACTTGGAGGAATAGTCTACATTTTCCTCCAACGTTACAGTGTATACCTCCTGACTAAATACAGGTCGGTTGTCGTTTATGTCTAGCACTGTGACCGTCAAATTAAGATTGGCTGATCTCGGCGGATTCCCTCCATCGATTGCTGTCAATAATAATCTGTGCTCAAGTTTCTGCTCTCTATCCAGCGCTTTCTGTAAAACTAAAAAGGGTACCTTTTAATCTCCTCTATCTCTAACTTCCATTTCAAAATTAGCGTTTTGACTTAACTTGTACAAGAGAATGGAATTAATCCCAGAGTCAAGATCACGCGCATATTGCAGTTGGAAATGCGCTCCAGGGTCTGTGCTCTCCGAAATGTCCAGCCCTTTCGCTATCTCTGGGAAACTGGGAGAATTATCATTCATATCGGTAATTTCTACACCAACATAATGGATTTCTAGAGGGTTTTCAACAACCATTTTCAGGTTAATCAAGCAGGCGCTATTGCCATCACATATCTCCTCTCTGTCGATTTTTGTTATGAACATACAAGACGCCATTGTTCTGATTTACATGGAAAAGAGCGTCCTTGGATCCATAAACGATACGAAACCGTCTCTCCACCAAAGTACTAACGTCAAGACCCAAATCCTTAACAACATTTCCAACAACGGATCCCTCTTTCACCTCCTCTGGAATAGAGTACCTTATCTGTGCTGAAACCTGCTGCCCGAAGCACAGCAGCAAAGAGAAACACATAGCAACACACTAGTACTCCCATCTACGCCTTTGTCCTCCCATCATTAGACAGAAAATTAAGCACAATCCTCAATGACAAAAATAGAACAACTCATAATAATCCGTGACAAATCCAATGTTTCAGAACTAAGTAATACAACTATTCTCTGACTATCATAGCACGTCTTGTTCTGATGTCTGCACTGCTCTCTCTGTATGTGTGGAACAAAACAGCCCAGAGAGGGGCCTAGTTTAAAAAGTACCAGACATTCTCCTTGTGTTACACTGACAACCTGTGGTCCGGGATTCAGGTATCCACAAAAACTATGTACATAAGCTCAGAGGAAGTGATAATCGTTGTATTCGTGTTGCATCAAACCCAATAAATATACCAATTACAATCCAAATTAACCATCAAAGAACGAATAAAGGTGAAGAGAGATATATATGGGAGGTAGAGGAAGAAAGTGACTTGAAGGAGTACACAGCAAAATAACAGATAATAAACTCGAGGTAGTAGCCTAGCTTGCTTAGCAGTGAGTTTGTGATAATTCAGCACCATGGACATTATTCGGAGACAAAACAAAATTTACTCAAAACATCTCTGTTTATCCGACTTAATAGGCAGTAAATAATAGAGAGAGAGTTCTTACCTCTGCAGAAGCTCTTTTCCTGTGTTCTGAGGGGACCACTAAGGTATTCCCATTGCTGCCCGGGACTATAGTAGAACCTGTACTCATTCTGGGTCCAACTAACATGTACCGTTTGTCTCCGGATCTGTACTGGATGCTGTGGCACAGTGTCCCGTCGTAATTCACATCTTGTAAATACTTGGATGAATAGTCTGTGGGTTTGGAGCACTGCATTGAAATCAACACGATGATACTGATGAGAAAAAGCGTTGAAACTGACCCCAAAGTAATGATCAGATAAAATGTAACGAAATTCTCTTCCTCGTCTTTTACTGAACTTGTAACATCTGAAGCTGCAAAAGCCTCTTTGGGCTCCACGACGTTGAGAATCACAGTAGCTGTTGCTGAGAGTGAAACGTTCCCATTGTCTTTTACCAGTATGACCAGTTTATGCTCAGCCTCGTCTGTCTCTGTGAATGACCGAAGTGTCCTTATCTGTCCTGTATAGCGGTCCAAAGCAAAGAGACTGTGGTCAGTAACTTCCTGCAGTGAAAATAATAACCAGCCGTTATATCCTATATCAGCGTCATAGGCTCTCACTTTAGTCACCAAATGGCCTACGTTCACATTGCGGGGAATCTCTTCCACACCTTCAGTGGAACCGTTAGCGCTGACTGGATACAATATCACTGGAGTGTTGTCATTCTGATCCAGAATGAACACGTTCACTGTGACGTTGCTGCTTAGTGACGGAGTTCCAGAGTCTTTGGCAATGATGTGAAACTGGAACGTTTTGAGGGTTTCAAAGTCAAAGCTCTTTAGTGCGTAAATGGTACCGTTGCCTTCATTTATGTTTAGGAAGGATGTCACGCTTTGTCCAGTGCTCCCACGGTCCAGTGAATATAAAATTGCTGCATTTTCACCTTCATCAACATCAGACGCGCTTACTGAGAAAATGGGCATACCAGGCTTATTGTTTTCAACTACATAAAATGTATATGGGTTTTCAGTGAATAGTGGACTATTATCATTAACATCTACTACCTCCACTTGAATTACTTTAGTTGACGACAGAGGAGGGATTCCTAAGTCTTTAGCCGTGATTGTAATATCATAAAGAGGCACCGACTCTTTATCAAGGTAATCATTGGTGACTAACGAATAGAAATTTCCATCAAGAGAGGGCTTCAGAACAAACGGTAAATCCTTCGGTAAAGAACAGACTACCTGTCCGTTTACACCGGAGTCCAGGTCGTTCATCCCCATCAGAGCCACCACGGTTCCGGGAGTTGCGTCCTCTGGTATCCGGCTAGACAGAGAGGTGACGTCAATCTCAGGCCTGTTGTCATTCACGTCTTCCACTCTGACGAGCACGTTGCAGTGTGTGGAGAGAGATACTGCTCCCTTGTCCGCGGCCAATATCTTCATCTCATACACCTGCTTCTCCTCGAAATCAAGGCCTCCCTTCACCTTTAGCTCCCCTGTTTTGCTGTCCAACTCAAATGGCTCAGCAGCCATACCTCTGAATTTACTTCGCAATGAATACTCCACCTCGCCATTCACGCCTTCATCCGAATCAGAGGCGTTAACTCGCAATAGAAATGTACCCTTAGGTACGTTTTCTTTGACTGTTACGGTATATTTCTGCTTATCACACACAGGAGTATTGTCGTTTATATCAGACACATTAACTGTAACATTAAGAGTTCCCGATTTCGGTGGCTTGCCTCCATCTAAGGCCGTTAACATCAAATCATATTGGGCTATGTGTTCCCTATCCAAAGGTCTTTGTAAAATCAAAAACGGAATTTTGCCATCCTCACCAAAGTCCTCAATTTCTACTCGAAAATATTGATTCTGGCTTAATTTATAAGATTGCAAAGAATATACGCCAATATCTGGGTCGTGAGCTCCTTCCAACTGGAGTCGGGCTCCTGTGGTAGCAGACTCTAGTATCTCTAAGTTATATGTTTCATCTGGAAAGGTAGGGGAGTTATCATTTACATCCATTATCTCGACTGTGACTTGGTGCATTTCTAGGGGATTCTCTATCACCGCTTTCAAGTTGATGAAACACGGCGTGGATTTTACGCACAGTTCCTCTCGGTCTACTCTGTGGTTCACTAGCAAAGCGCCATCTCTCTGGTTTACCTGGAAGAGCTCTTGCTTTGTTCCAGACACGATGCGAAGATTCCGGTCCGCTAGTCTCGAGGTGTCGAATCCCAGATCTTTAGCTATATTCCCAACTGCCGTTCCTACTTTTAATTCCTCTTGAATGGAGTATCGTATCTGCGCGGAGATTCCTTTCAAATGAAGAAAAAGAAGAGCAAAATTACAAAATGCCCATCCGCTTAGCCACCGTCTTTTTCTATTTTGCATCGCCATTGTTTGGCAGAAAAACTATAGGCCTAACGCAGAACTGCCAAGATCTTAAATCACACAAATTATTTTCGTTTCAGAGGATCCCACTATAATTGTTTGTTATTTCCATCGTTTAGCCATTTAATAGCGCTATTTAACATCGGTCTTAATGCTTCTGTGTCTTTGCGGCTACTGAATGCCTCACCCCTTCAAGAATGGTGTTATTACGCGCCTACATTATGCGCTTATGATGTAAAAGCGCCACCATGCGTCTGGGCACCTTGTGGTTCTGAATGTTCAATAACCTGTAGGCCAACATATTATTAAGTAAAAGCTTCAGGTATTCCAAAACAACCACAGGTGCTCTTGGAGCGGAATAGTAATTGAAAAGCAAAAGGAAAAATTATATCCACAAATGGGTAGCCTACTAAGTGGCATAAAAAAATCAAAGTCCAGGCACTCGTGTGGGTTTGAAAGTTGAAAAGTCTTTATTGTGTGGAATAAGTCATTATTAAAATACACCAAAGAGTATCGGCTAACGCCTTCACTGATTTCATGACGCATGTCATGGATCGCATGCCCTGGCTTGGAGAGTACTTTAGAATTGAATCGAACATGCTTTCCATTACAGATCAACCTAATTGTATCACTTCTTACAATATAAAGTATTGTAAGTTGTTATACTTTGATTAGGGGGTAGCCTCTTTATACCACGACTTTAAGAAGTCAGTCACTATTCTTAAAATGGTTACATCCTCTATTCAAATAATAGCCTAAATAACATCTAAATGTGATATGACAAGTAATATAGTCAGTGCGTCACAATATTACAATGAAATCACTTTCATGTCACTTAACTTCCCTGGGTTTGTGTTGTGTAGGTCTACATAGGACTATTAGCACCACCTGTCATGTTCCGCTATTACAACGGTAAACAGCGGCACCCTATGGCTGAGAGTGGTAGGTTCAGCAGAGCCAATTGAACGTCTTCTTGCCCGTCACATGTGTGATAGTATGGTAACTGGCTGCATGGCCGAACAGTAAATGCTGACAAGACCATAACAGTCTGAACAACCCAAATTCACGGACAGAATGACCCACATAATAGTTATGTACAGACCCCCCCCCCCCCCACCCCCACACACACACACACACAGACACACACACACTCCACACACACATACACACACACAAACACTGGTGTCTGCATCTCTCTAGCTCCTCTATTCTCCTCTATTATGTCCCTCTCTCTCCAACACTGCCATTTCGTACTGCAATGACGTGTATTCTGCTATTCTGAAACGGCCAGTTATTAACGATTGAATCCTTATTTTCAACAACACTGCTGCATTTCTCGCAGTTAAATCACTGCAATGAAAGCTCTGCAGATGATGTATGCGTTACCCGGATACTGCATCACGAGCTGAGCGGCTTGTCAGAATATCAAATTACAGGCTGCTTCAAAGTACACCACCAGCTCCTGCAGTGCGTTGCCTTGGCAACTGAGCTCCGCGAGGCAGGTCGCTGTCCACGGTGCTGAAAGAAAGCAGGCCCGGGTGGAGAAAGAGAAAGGGAGAGGGATGAAGAGGCAATGCCTGCTGTAGAATGAAATCTACGGGTATGTTTTATTTTCCCGCTTATCCTAATTTGTCCTCATTTTTGTTACAAGGTTTGTGCAAAATATTCCTCAATTGCCCACCCTCTTATATCCCCCCTCCTCTCTGCTTAGATGTTGCACATTAAGAGACATACTGCCGTCGCCTGGACACAGGGAGAATGAATCCCCGGTATTGTTTGGCCAAGGGAAGATAAATATGTCCTTGTGTAACTCAATGCAAGGTTTCAGCACAGTATAGCCCTAAATGTATGATGGCCTTGGTAATCATGTATGAAACTAAAACCATACACAACCTTCCCAATCTACCAAAGACTTACCATAAATCCCCATAACGCACCATTCTGGGCCTTGTGATTCTATCCTGCACTACCCCACCTTCACTTCCCCCTCTGTCACTTGATATGCCTAAGCATCAAGCCCTCCCCTGTGTGTGAAGGCTCATATGTGGCAATCAGGAGGCAGATACAGAGGCAGCGTGGGCCTGCAGTGTGATGATGTCACAGAGGATACAGTGCAAGGATATTGAGTAGTGTTTGGTGTGCTTGAAGAGGCCTTAAATTCACTACATGACCAAAAGTATGTGGACACCTGCTCATCGAATATCTCATTCCAAAATCATATGGAGTTGGTCCCCCCTTTGCTGCTATAAAAGCCTCCATTCCTCTGGAAAGGCTTTCCACTAGATGTTGAAATATTGCTGCGGGGACTTGCTTCCATTCAGCCAAAAGAGCATTAGTGAGGTCAGGCACTGATGTTGGGCGATTAGGCCTGGCTCACTGTCGGCGTTCAAATTCATCCCAAAGGTGTTCGATGGGGATGAGGTCAGGGCTCTGTGCAGGCCAGTCACGTTCTTCCATACCGATCTCGACAAACCATTTCTGTATGGACCTTACTTTGTGCACTGAGGCATTTTCATGCTGAGACAGGAAAGGGCCTTCCCCAAACTGTTGCCACAAAGTTGGAAGCACAGAATCGTCTAGAATGTCATTGTATGCTGTAGCATTAAGATTGCCCTTCACTGCAACTAAGAAGCCTAGCCCAAACCATGAAAAACAGCCCCACACCATTATTCCTCCTCCACCAAACTTTACAGTTGGCACTATGCATTCGGGCAGGTAGCGTTCTCCTGGCATCCGACAAACCCAGATTTGTCCGTCGGACTGCCAGATGGTGAAGCGTGATTCATCACTCAGGCTTGTGTGTGGCTGCTCGGCCACGGAAACCCATTTCATGAAGCTCCCGACAAACAGATCTTGTGCTGACGTTGCTTCCAGAGGCAGTTTGGAACTCGGTAGTGAGTGTTGCAACCGAGGACGGACGATTTTTACGTGCTACACGCTTCAGCACTCGGCGGTCCCGTTCTGTGAGCTTGTGTGGCCTACCACTTCGCAGTTGAGCCGTTGTTGCCCCTAGACATTTCCACTTCAGAATAACAGCACTTACAGTTGACCGGGCAGCTCTAGCAGGGCAGAAATTTGACAAACTAACTTGTTGGAAAGGTGGCGTCCTATGACGGTGCCACGTTGAAAGTCACTGAGCTCTTCAGTAAGGCCATTCTACTGCCAATGTTTGTCTATGGAGATTGCATGGCTGTGTGCTCGATTGTATACACCTGTCAGCAACGAGTGTGGCTGAAATAGCCGAATCCCCTAATTTGAAGGGTTGTCCACATACTTTTGTATATATAGTGTATGAAGGATTGCAATCTAATTTGGGGGAGTAAGAGGAGAACCACACATATAGAGAGAGGAGAGAAGCTCACAGTGAGGCATTCTGCAGTTAGCCTGTGATCTCTGCTGCTGCCTGTGTGTTGTTAGTGTGTTATTAGCATGTTGTTAGCATGTTGTTAGCATGTTGTTAGCGTGTTGTTAGCGTGTTGTTAGCATGTGGTTAGCGTGTTAGAGGCTCACAGCAACACAGCAGCAGTGTAGCGATATATAGGCAGCACAGGCAGCATGGGAGTATCCATCTGGGTCAGGAGGAGGGAGACGGAATACTGTGGAACACATCGCTAAGTGCCAACCTTCCCAAGCCATTCACATCGCACCAGTTAACACCAACTCAAGCCACTCATTCACATTGCACCAGTTAACACCAACTCAAGCCACTCATTCACATTGCACCAGTTAACACCAATTCAAGCCACTCATTCACATTGCACCAGTTAACACCA